TAGACACCTTAGAATCGTCAAAAAACGATTTCGGCTCATATGGTTCCTAAAACATTCGAGATTATACAACATGTGAGTTTTCCAATAGTCCTGCATCCGGTTTATTTGTATATTGCCCATATGAAGCCATAACCCTATGAAAACTTTCAATGTTGAAACTGTTACATAAAAAAAGTAAGTCCGTCAACGTGTTAAAAAATTCAACCCTTAAAATGCTTTAATTTAGCTTTAATTACTGTTCCAAGTAAAGTGGATTTTATGTTTTATTTTGTGTTTCGGTGACATTCTGCTTGATCTAACATTTTGGGTTATCGAGGAAAAATCATGATTGTATCGGTTTGTAGTACATACTACATACCACATTTTGGCTTCTTTCTAGGATTTAAAAAAATTTCCCGTAACTCAAAAATGTATCGACTTTGTACTAAAGTATAAGTAGCTCACTGTGCCCTAAATTGAGAGAGCATCCTGTATATAGGTTGCGTAAAATTACAAAATTTCATTATTACATGTCATAACTCTGTATCGGTGCTTAGCGAAACACCCTGTTCACGTACATATTATTTCCGTTTTCGTACAGATATATGCGGATTTTGCAGACAATGAGTTGCAAAATAGCAAGACCAGTGCGGATACCATTCTCCATATGAGGTGACTGTCAATGCGACCTTTACTTTTTTCCGGTTTCCAGCAGAAATTGCCAGTCATATAGGCATGTTCGATACGGAATTTAGATCTAGTTCATTAACAATGTGCGAATAATATGAGGGAGCTGCCCATTTATTGATAACGGGTCGCTATGTAAAAAATATCTGATTTATGGAGAATTCTTAAATCCAAGAGTTTGGTAGTCTAAGAAGTTTTAGAGAAGTTTTAAACAGAAAGCTGATATTCTCATAGACTCCGATGTTCCCTGCTTTATTTAGTTTTGTTTTAATTATTTTTTTTTTGTCAAGGACTGAGGAACGAAACATTATTTCGGGAGACAAGAGACGCATATATTTTCTTATTGATACAAGACAAATCGAAGAACTTAGATGAATATAAAGGTGTAGTTACAGTAAAGACAAATATAAAATATCAAAAATATATGAAAGTTGATACTGATAATTTACAAGCAAACAAAATAGTACCTCGGACCCTGGTACCTAAATTATACGAATACTCCGGATAATATATCTACGTTTGTACTTAGGGAGATTTCGTACAACGAAGTCAGAGACTTGGATTAAAAACTGTAAGAACACTGATGTTTATGGCCTTAATAGTAAGATTATTGAAACAATACTGAATATCAGCGTATAACCTCTTACAAAACTTATTATTATTTGTATAAGATCAAGCTCATTCGTTGCGTCTCTAAAAAAATTAAAGGGATACCAATTTTCCAAGAAGTATCGGTTGACGAACTCTCTCTAATCATCGCCCATATCTATTATACCTTATTTTGCCAAAACATTCGAGATCATCCTCAATGATGAATTGAGTGGTCATCTAGAGTCAAACGAACTATTAAATACTGGTCAGTTTGGTTTCGGAAAAGGTATGTCAACGACAACCGCGATAAACATTTTCACCGAAATAGTTAACGAGAATTATGAGAACAAATTATACTCGTACATGAAGGCTGCCTTTTTCGATCTAACGTCGATCGATTGTGTCCAGCATGAGATACTACTGTATCAAAGCTTCCTTTTTATTCCATGGCTCCATCCAGTGTGCAGCTTCTCAATTCTTGTTGTACGACAGCAATTTGTGGAATACATAAATTGCAGCTCTATTGTCACCACAATTTTGCATGGGATATGCACTGGAACCATTGTTACTCTTGTTATACATCAACGATATACAAAATTTGTCTCAGTGAGGAACTACGAGGGCTGTTTGATGAGTCAGTGGCTTTTTAAATAAAAAAATGTTTTTCGGCAAACTACTCCTGTATGCCGATTGCACTACTCTTCTTTTAACTGACAGGATCTTAGAAAACCTAGACAACGAATAATCAGCATACAAAAAAACTGTTTTTTTATTAAAGGGCTGACATTTAATAAAACCAAAACTCCGAAATGAGTATTGCTGTAGGGAATTTTGACCCAAATGATGACAACGCAAGAGCAGGAAAATTTCTCAGGGTGTAATTTGACTCATCTTTCAGTTAAGACGAGCATGTAATCATGCTACAAAATCTTTGACAAGATCTATTTATATGATACGTAATATAAGTAATTAATTATCTCAGAAAACACTGCTCACCAGTTATCACGCACTTCCACTGTAGAACGTCTTACACCATTCTGGCATGGGGTCATTCTGTACACATGCTTAGAGTTTTTGGCCTACAAAGAAGATGTTTTAGATACATGTCAAATTTGAGCTACATAGATCCTTTCAGGAATGAATTCTTTAAATTGAATATCATGACATTGCCATACATGTTAAAACCCACTCTCACAATTATGCAACTCATCAAGATACTCATAATTACAACACCACAAACAAAAAACATTTGCGTCCAAAACGACATGGCCTTTCCAAAACTAGAAATGGAGTCAACTACCACAGGTTAAAATTCTGCAACCTATTGCCAAATCAAATACAATCTCTGGATGTTGAACAATTTGGCAAAACTATGAAATGCTTCCTACTATCTGAATCTTTTTTGACGTCGAAGACTTCCTTAACTTCAATTTTTTCAGCCTGGCATAATTTTTATTGTAATTAGTCTCTCTTATAATTTTTTAACCAACTGTATTTATTATTTATCTAAATTTCAACTTTGATTTTATAACTCTTTACCATTTATTGCCACTTTGTGTTAGATACATGTTTGTCTTATTTACTTATAGTTTGTTGTTTTTACTCACTCTTCAATGTCCTACTTTAGCTGAATTTTACAAACACATGTTTGTGTAATACCACCAATAAATTATTATTATTATTATTTATATTTTCGAATCAAAATAAAAACTTATGAATTTTGAAATACTAAGAAAATTCCATATCTTTTATTTGCATTTATTGTGAATTTATTATAAATAGGCTGACATTTTACCGTTATTTGTATGATTTTTCACATGCAATTTATAATATATCCAGTGGCGTAGCTTGCTCCTCAAGGGCTCTTATCAAATTTTTAGGGGGGATCACCCAAGTGTGGCGAATCCTAAATGGAGGGTTAAATTTGACGTACGTACAGATTTTTCAAAAGAAACATAAACGCTTGCATTAAATAATATAAATTGTCACGTTTTGACAGTCAGAGGGAATGGATCATCGGCAAGAGATAACGTTCTGTAAAAGCATACCTAACCCTCAAAGCTTTTTGAAGCGCGAGGTGCAGCAGAGTTTTCGAGGTTGAGGCGGGAGTGTGAATTTGGAAATTTTAGAAATTCTGCTAAATGTTTGTCGTGCAATGACTACATCACGTAAATCCATGTGGGTCGTAGTACCTAATGCTAGTTAATTTTGAAAATCGTTGAGATGAGTCAAATTGTAATTGCTTTCAGATCATCCCAAAGTTTGTTTTTGTACGCTTTACAACTTTCAGAACAGTTTTAAGGTAATGAAACATATTTGTGGAGAGGTTAAAATTTTTGAAAATTTGGAAATTTTTCTTTATACTTCGTTTCTGATAGCTAATGGTTGAGGCATATTCAAAAACATTATGAAGCTCAAACATTTTGTTTCTTTGCCAAAAGGCCGCTTACATTGACGCATAGAATATTTGAAAATAGGCATAGGTGAATGCTTCAGAAGTATCGGGTCAATCTATTTGTAACTAGTTTTTCAGATTTCTTATTACACCATCCATACCGGAAGACAATGGATGGTGTTTCGAAATTTTCAGCCTGATAGTCAAAGTTGGCACATAGAATATTTTAATTACTTTTAATTTCGGAAACCTTCTTTCAGCTGTTGCAGATGTAATCTAGAGGGTTAAAAATTGGAAGCATGCTAGTATCACCTAGCCATACAACCTAGGGCTTAGCACTCGAATATTTTTAATTTATCGTACGGCCCAAAAACTTCGTGATATTTCAGAAAATACATCGCATTTTGTTCTTAGGCGGTGGTTCTGTAAGCTGGGGGCTCCATATATCATTGATACGGCTGTTACGGCGGTAGCTACGATCTCCAACCAAGAAAAATACTTCTCTCTTTTAAATTCAGGAAGTATAGAAAGGGATACCTGGAACTCAATAAAGTCACTGGATCATGTGCACAAAGGGTTATACTTCTATTCCTGATAATAAACCAAAATTGCATTGACATGCATGCAATGCATATTTACATACACTGGGAAAACTAAATTTGTCTGAGGCTTGAGTTCAGTGTGTACGAGAGAGAAGCACTAGGTGCGTGTGCTGCTTAAGCGACTTGACATTTGAGCTATATCGTTTGGCTCTGCTGTGATGTAACATCTGCTTCAGAGATGTCACTAGCGGAGGCCATTTACATTTGTAAGATCTATACTATAGCTCTTTATACAATTTGTTCATAGGTGGCATTTACAACGAGTGCGCGTGCTGAAAAGTTGACATATTACCTCTTTTTAATGACGTTATATAACTATTAGGTTTTCACGTAATGCCTCTGTCGGACCGTCAGAAATTCATTGTTGAAGAGAATCGGCGATATTTTTGTCTTGATTTCATAAATAACTTTAAAACCACCCTGTATCGTCTTATATGGATTCTTTAAGATGCACGTTTATAGACACTTTCAGCGTTATTTTTTGTTGTATTTTGCTCTCTGTAAATGTTGTCATTGTTTCTTGAATCGCCATATATATTTTTATTTTGAATGTGCTTTCGGTATCCATATAATCTAATAATAATACAATAATTTGTTATTATAATCCCTTACAGTCCGTCGACCAATGCTACACGATCAATATTTACGCTGGTCCGTATATATCAGTATGTACTGATCATTCCGTCAGTGTCAATGGATTTCCAGGAATAACGGAAATCCTGGCTGCACGTCAAATATGATAAATACTGATCCTGTAACATTTGCCTTTAATTTTCATAATTTTTAATATGGAAAATACATCAAAGTGGGTCGATACGGTCCTGGTGTAGGTACACGGATATACTCATATATTTATATCTAGCAATCTAGCTAACTTTGCGAAAGTGACGTCTATGCAACCAGTTATACGCCATACTTTAATTTTGAACTTATTTTAGAATTTAAAACTTGATCTGGTTAGATACATGTTCAGTAATTTTAATTTCCACGTTTTTATTGTTTATGTTTTCACTATACAGATACAGCATATCAGTGTGAACTTTATGTCTATTGAACATCGTAAACGTCATTCAAATCAAGAGAGTTCACAACGGTTATTTAGAATTTGACATTAGGAAGAACAACAAAATGGTAAGCTGCTGAACTTTTTAAGAATTTTAGCTTAAAATAAGTGTAAAAATCCAATTTGTTACCAATTAACGCTTGTTTTTATTACAGGCGAACTATACCGAAGACCAAATGGCTGGTAAGTGAAACAGAACATGAAAATCTAGGTTACCTTGCCCCACCTTAGATGGTCGTTTATGTTTTTCGCCACGTTTTCCCAATTAGATTTCGCTTTACTTCACAGACTTTTGGGATAATTCAGAAAATAATCAATTCTGTATGATTCTCTATTTTACAATTGTGCAAAAATCTCAATTTAACCACTGTATTGAGCCTTGTGTTTATTTAGTTCAGACTGAGATGGAAAAATGGCAATGAGTCACACGCAATTTTATCCATATATGGTCCGATTTTGAAAGCTGGCGATGATTATTGGATCATACAGATGTTCATTTTAGTCTTGCAATAATATTGCACTTGCCAGCATGTACCTTTACGAGCCTCCAAGCAAGTTATCTTCATTAGAAGGTTGTTAAACTATTCTTATCAATACATACCATTTATGTGGCTCATTGTTGTAGAATTCCAAGAGGCATTTCAGCTGTTTGATAACAGAGGAGATGGAAAAATTCATGTGGCTCAGATTGGGGATGCCTTAAGAGCATTAGGTCTGAATCCTACTGAAGCAGATGTGAAAAAGTTTACACATTCCTATAAGTCAGATGAACGGGTTTCATTTGAGGTGTTTCTACCTATTTACCAGGTAAGAAAGATTAAAAAACATATTCAGGTATTAACATATTCCATCAGTAGATATCAAATTCAATAGAAAAATGTGTCCAGATGTACCTCTGTGAAAATAGTCATGCATACTCTGGTGCTGCCATAATTACAAGCGCTCATTTCTGAAACAAATTTAAGTGGAAAAATTCATATGAATATTGTCCTAATTGGCAGTATGGCTGTGACGATGGAAATTGTATGTAAACATCTAAATATTCATGTCTTTGAAGGATATGTTAATCAAAAGTATTAGCAAAAAACATTTTTACAGCAAATCTCAAAGTCAAGGAGTGCAGATACTGTTGAAGATTTCATGGAGGGCCTTCGTCATTTTGACAAAGATGGTAATGGTTTCATCAGCTCTGCAGAGTTACGTCACCTTTTGACTACTTTGGGGGAGAAGCTAACAGATGATGAGGTAGTATATGGAATTTTTAAAAAAAACATATATTCAAGTCAGTTTTGCCTATATTACCGGTTAGTTTTTGCAAATGTTTTCAAACTGCTTCTTTGCTTAGGTCCTTATCACTCTAAACATATTGTTTAGATCCCCAAAATAAATTAAATATAGAACCATAGATGTCTGGTTTACTGTACTATTAAATTTAGATACAAATTGTTTAGTGATACCTTATTTTGAATGTAGAGCTGTGTGACAAAAAACTGCAATTTTTTATAGGTTGAGCAGCTATTGCAAGGTCAAGAAGATTCACAAGGAAATGTAAATTATGAGGAATTTGTGAAGCTGGTCATGTCAGGCTGAGTGTCTAATAGCATTTATATTTTATAACTACCATATCACCTAAGCTGCATAGTGATGTTAAAATATTAGATACACTCTTGGTATCATTTTTTTGAAAATACATAGTTAACATCTATCTGTCTGCTAAGTTATTGCAGCTTCAAATGATTTGTTAGCTCTCATTTACTAATTGTATATTTAGGTGCATTTTATATAGTGCCTTTCATTCCAATGTATGCTTTTATGGCATTTATGAATTTATTGATTTAGAGATAGCCTAATGATGAAAGTAAACTTTTTTTATTGTGTCAGATTTTTATACCATCAGGCACTGCAGAATACTTATTTTAGTGATAAAATGACTAATGTCACTCTTTATTCATATGGTGTCTATGTTTACCTATAGGTTTTATAGGGCAAATAAATTATGTACAGGTTAAAAGGATATGTTTATTGAAAAACTATGTTTCAGAATGATTTAACAGAAAAAGGTAAGATTTCAAAATATCTAACTTGTTATTCCTTGTGCTGGGGCCTCTGGTGTAAGTATTTATGGAAAAAATCTTACAGGAATATCTTTTCACCACTAAAAGATTAAAAAATTTGGTGACTGGTTTTTTGTGTTTAGACATATAGGATGATGGACGTTACGCCACATTAGTAAATGTTCCAAAAGTGGTTGTATCTCTTTCTTGTTTGTGAATGACTTTTATGAATAAAAGCATTATTAGGAAATGCAAAATGAGTCAATGGTCTACAAAAAATATAAAACCGGTGTACAGGTCTGACGTTGACAGACTCAGAATGGTGTGTCACTTGTTGATAAGGGGAATTTTGAAATTTGACCAGATAGTCAGCTGTTCTTTGCTATCACGTTTGACGTAATGGATCATAAAGATCATACCTAGATGTTTTCTAAGTAAATAAATTATGAACAGATTAAATAATAGTCTATGACTATTGAAAAACCTACTACTACTAAAAAAGGGTAGGTTTTCTTAACATTTCTGGGCAAATTTTGGCTGACAACTTGTTAGTCCTTTTCCTGGGGTGTCTCTTATCCATTGCAAAAAAGATCTTATGCTAATAGTATATCCTCCATTGAAACATTTGTAGTGGGTGTCTTGGTTTTTTGTTCAAAATCATGATTCAGCCCTGAAGGAAAGAATGGCATGTTATGAGTAGACAAAAAGCACGAAACAGCTGTCCATGGTTGGCTATCTTTGGTCGAACGGACGAAAGAAGTACGTTTTGGTAAACTTTTTTTGTGGCAGGTTTTTATAGTAGGAAGTACCATCTCTCGGAAGTGTAGTTTCTTTGAGTAACCAAGTGAATTTTCTCTTTTTATATACCTAGATGTTTAATAACGACTATTGCTCTCGTCTTAATTTCTACCAATCACAAACGCGCAATTTTGAATTGGTAAAGGTTTCTAGATGGAAAAATTGTATAACAGCACCTGTCAGCAGTTTTTTCGAGTTTATCCGCGGCAAAAATTGACAGCTGTAGTCACCAAAAATTACGATACCTCTGATAACAAGTAATTATGGATTATGGTCCTCTAGGACACCAGAAAACGACGCTAAAAAATTTTTCTGATTTTATTGTCAATAAATATTGTAATATTGTCTTTAAACGGTGCTAATCAGCTTATGTAGTGAAAATGAGTCGCTTTGGAATTCTTTGGCTAATATTATCGGGCGATACGTCAATATGGAAACAGCCTACGGAATTCTGCAAGGCAAAGAAATACGAGCTTTTCTAAACAAGTTTAGAGCAACTAAACTAAAAGGTACAGGTAGTATTGTGTGATTAAACAAATTACCGATTTTTCAGTTTTCAAATTAATACCCATATAGTTTTTATGTATGCATGTAAAATAGCTAGTATGTTTTGTAAGCTGTGTGTATGCAGAATAATCTGTTTACTCATGAAATAGTCTTGTCAAATACCATTCGGGCATCTAATTTTTTCCTATGAAAATAATCTAAAAAGCAAAAACATTGGTGTATGTGCACCAGCACTCCTGCTTCTTGTTAAAATATTACTTAGTGCTTTTTCGACCTTTCTCGGAAAAATTAGATGCCCTCATGATATTATTTATGGAAATAAATTATGTATAGACTAAAAAGCTATGATTATTGAATCTTATGCTTTTCAGGAAGATATAAAAAGGTAGGCTTTCAAAAAGTCTAACAACTTTGTGGGCACATTTTATTGTATCAATTTGTCAGCCTTCATACTAAGGTCTCTCATGTAAGTATTCATGGAAACAAGACCTTATGGGAATATTTTTTCCATTCAAAGGTTTACATAAGAAAGTGAATTCGTTTTTTTGTGTTTAATTCTTCATTCAGCCCTGTTAAAAAAATTGAAACGACAGGGCTGAGTGAAGAGCTAGACACATAGAATGATGAATATTACACCATATTAGTAAATGTTAGAACTATTATACGATTATATATGTCTGTTTTATCTTTTATTCATAAATTTAGTTTATTGGTTCAGTCACAGCTGGGTACAATTAAACCTTTTTTTTATTTTGTATCAGATTGTTAAACTATGAACTTTTTTCTACAGAATACTTTTTTTAGTAATCAAATGATAAACTTGAGAAATGTCACTCTGTAAAAGGACGTGTCTATGTTTACCTTAGCGTTTTATAAGGGAAATAAATTATTTGTACGCATTAAAAGCCTACATATGATTATTGAACCTTATGCATTTAGCAGTAAATGTACCAAAAGTATATCGTACGTATTCGTTTATTTTATTTTTCATATACTTATGTATAAATTTGAATTGTTTTATGGTTCGTACAGTAGTCGGTAACTTGCCGGTGACTGTCAAAATCAGAATCGGAGAGATGTTACCTGTTCGTACAGTTTCTGTTTCCCGATAGCTAATCCGCTGTTCGTACAGAACCTTCTGACAGGTCAGAGGACACCAGTCAACCCAGTGACAGCGACAGGTATCAGAGTGTGTCGAAACCATGTTGAGGACGGAAATTGCTTCGCAAGAGGCATTTAATGATCGATTACTCTTCTCTAATGGACGGTCTGGGGACGCCGACGGGCCGTTGGCTGCCTAGCTACGCCAACAGGCTTTGCTCCTCAGAACTCTCTTCCATGCTGTCGCCGCGCGATGTGCCTGCCTGACTTCGGCCTCCCATCGTAACCGTGTTGAACCTCGTACATCTAGAACTGGCCGATAAGACCGCTCCTTTGTCTCGAGGGTAACGAGATCGTGTAACAATCTACATGAGGAGGTTCTCCCAGTTCTAATAACTTAAGGCAGTTCAAAAATAGGAATAACAAAGGTTCTTTAAGCTTCCTCAAAGCAGCCGCGGTGCCCTGCGCGGCTGCTACGGTATAAAAAAAAACTGAGAGATATACCAAGAAGATGAAGACTTTGAAGTCCTACTGAGGAGAGAATGAAACCCCAAACCTAAATTTTGTAGAGAAAACAGTGCCACAATTCAACAGAAACAAGTTTTTGTAACATTTTCGGGTGAGCAAAGTGACAGAAGAAATTTTAATAAAATTCCATTTTAAATATCAGTCAGCGTCAAAGTGCTTTGTGCTTGATATTTTGTTTATTGATCCTGTAATGGCAAAATGAAGATTATGAATACAGTATGAAAAATCCGAACATAACTTTCAAGAACCATAATTAATACGATTTTTGTGATCACTAATCTTTTGAAAATTTTTGTTACAGTTGCAAAATGCGAAATTACGCAATTTAAGTCTTACTTCTATGTATTTTAGTAGTCTCAGTTCTTTTTGTCCATGTTGGGAACTCTGTGAAATTTATAGCCATGTAAGCAGATCTTGATAATTGTAGTTATGTTCAGCTGTTTTAGGTTTTTAGTGTATAACACTCTTTATTATTCAAAGACGTTATTAAATCCTTGTATTTTTACCTCTTTCTTCTAGTGAGAGTCTGCATATACAGGGTGTTTCTAATTTGGCACTAACCATTGGCGTCTTGGAAACTGTAAGGGATACGAAGTCTCTTAAATGGGGTAGTTAACAACATGACACTTTAGAAAGTTTCGAAATTCAAAGTACATACTTCCGGAGAGTGAGGGAAAAACTGTATTTTCCCAAAATCGTTTTGATTTTTTCCTGACTACAAGAAGGCATAATCAAAATTTCTTTATGACGGTTCGTCCTCTTGTACTTCGCATCAACTTTATTATTTATTAAAGCCGCAATATTCATGTTGTGTAAGAATCCAATATGGCGTCTATAAGAAAAAATTAACTGATGCTTTAGGACAAGAGACGAAACGTCATACTGAAATCCTAATTGTGCCGTCTTGTAGAGGAGAAAATGTGGCCGAGTTGATGTGCAATCTAGTTTGAAATCCCACCATAAATAAAGTCAGGAGAAAATTAAAACCATTTTGGGAAATTTCGCTTTTTACGTTTCTTTCCGGAAGTACTTTTAATTTCAAAACTTTCTAAGCGACATTTTGCTGATTATCTCAATACGCAATTTCGCCCCTATTTAAGCGACTTCGGATCCTTAAAGTTTTCGAGATCCCAATGGTGAGGGTCAAATTTAAAATACTAATAATAGGGAAAATATTATTTTCACCCCAGCAGAAACAGTCGGTCACTCCCTCTCCGTGGTCACCCGTGAAAAAAAGCTGTATCACAAAATCTCCAGAATTCTTAATTTTTTTTTTCATCAGCTTTATGCTGGTCTTACGTAGCTAGAATATATAAATACTGTTTCTGCATACACGTCGAGGCTGGGCGACAAGGGAAAACAATAGTGTCGGAGTTTTATTATATATTAAGTCATTCACAATACTTTGTACATTTCTCATGCATATCCACTGCAGACGTTTATAATGTATTTACTTCTTCAACTTGTCATTTGATGTGTGGAATCATTTCTTCGAATTTATGTTTATACTTTTTATATGAGAATTGAATGGTAATTACTGAGTAAATCTACTTGATAATTTTGGGTAACTGTTATTTTTTCTATAAAGTGTCCATGTTTTCCTTTCTAAAGGAAAATCCGGGCACATTTGGACAGTTGGACGAAAAATCCTATATCATTCTGGTTTACAGCAGATGGACATACCCAAACTTCTCCAAAATTATCTACTTCATTCTGAAAAACTTCACATTCGAAAATTTGACAGTCATCAAACAGTCAGAAGTTTCTGTACGAACAGCGGATTACTTGTCGGTAATCGGTCTTACCTTTCTCAGCCAACTCTTAACGTTCTCATGTACGCAATTAATACAGTCAGCAACTAGGTCATGACTTGTCGCCGACTATCAGCTTGCTGATTGTCAGCAAACAGGCTGTGCGAACAAACCATTACGCTGGCAACGGACGGTGAGCGATAATATAATATATATTATAGTCGTACAATACGCTATAATATTATATTATGACTGCAACGGACTACAGAATATATATTTTCATATCTTTCTAGCAGTGGTGCCGGACCTACCGATTTTTCAGCATTTAATTAATAAGGTATCCCCATATGTTAATCTGCCGCGCTTGGGTAAATCCTAAAATCCCCTCTTGGGTTTCCCTACTATTAGCTTTCAAACTACCTATGTATATAAAAATAAATATTTACAAATTCATACCGTCGGATATATCGCAATCACCGATGATACTCCTCCAAGCTGCTTCTTTAATCTCATTATTTTCATACTCGTTCGAGTCTACCTTCCATAAACATGGATGTTGTCTTACACTTTCAATAAAATACTCCATTTTGTCTATTGCGAATTCCGAAGTGCAAGAACAAATAATAAAATAGCAACATCGCGCCAAGCCGGCTGCCAGCAAGAGCGGTTCGTGTGCATTTTCGGGAGACACGACGCAAGAGGGGAATAGATATAGCGCAGAATATCGCTCGGTAAGCATATCCCGACAGATACGTAATATATCGCTATAGCGATATTTCTGTAATAGGCAGGATATAATATATATTATATTATCGCTCACCGTCCGTTTCCAGCTTTAGTGAATGACTCGTTTTTTATGCTGAATTCTTCAGTGAGCTGCGTCCATGCGATTGATTTAACGCAGCTCACTGAAGAGTCTAATATACAGAACGATACTGCAACAGTTGATTCTTCATCATTATTTTTTCACAGCACTAAATGTTTTTCATATGAGATTAAAAAACCTTTCAATTCAGAAATTCAAATGTGAAAAGGTAAGATTGACCCATCTTGGATTTTGACAGCGGTCGTCTGATCCCACCAGGTCATCTGGAAAAAGAGGCGTGGTCTCCAAGAATCTAGGTAGGAAAGAAGGCAAGGTCTAAATTTCGTTGACTGGAAAGGGGTGTGGTTAAAGGTATGCTGTCAAAAAAGTTGACACGTAGGGTAGTAGTACGTAACTTGAACAGTGACAGTTTTTTTTTTACATTAAGGTTTCCAACAAGACGCCAACTTGTTGCAAGTGCGGAATGAACTATCTGCACATTAGCTTACTTGGTCAAGGTTTTCTCTTTTGACATTATATAGGTTTTTTACGGATAACCCTGGCGATCTGTTGCTAATGAAAAGATGTGGATTTAAACCTGTCAACTTGGGTGTGGCTTTCGATATTGTTCGCCATGCCTCTTTTCCAAGATTAATCAATCAGATTAATGTGTCTCCACCTTATATTATGTGCTTCGTATTGTTCTGTGGTTTTGTATATTTTTTATTTCCTAGGTTATTCAAATTTCTACTATCCAGTTTTTTATAATTTTTAAAAAGAAAATGTCTACGGATGCTTGGGAAGAAATACAAGCTATTAAAAGCAAACGAAATAGTTTGAGAGAAAGGTTGGAGAAGCGCAAAAAAGAAAGACAGGAGCTACTAGGTTCCAGTTTAGGTAACAGCCTAAAAATCCTCCTTAAACGCTCCATAAATAACACAGATACATTATAATTCCAGGCTCTTCTTCTCCTATAAGCATATCTGATAAATCTCCTAAAACAGTTACACCAACATCTGCTATAAAGGAAGAACCAAAAAGTACAGAGTCTGATGATTTACTTAAGTTAGATCCCGAATTAGAGCGAGCTCTCCTAAAAGAATTGAGCGAAGTCACTTTACAGCTACCTATATCTTCTTCAGACATGATACCCACTCTGAAACTGACCTCAGATCCAAATTCAACACACAAAAAAATCTGTAATTTATTAGAGAAGTTTGCTATACAAAAATTGATTACAGTAAAAAATATATGCAAAGATGATGTTAACAGTATAGAGGTTTTGCATATTGAGGTGTCAAAAGTGAATGCTATGATTTTGGAAGGATCAACACATGGTTTGGATTCAAAATGTGGTGTTTTGAAAAGGAAAAAGGATGAAATGCATGCTAGTAATGAAGCTGATGAGGATAGGAAAAAAAAAGAAAAAAAGGAACCTAAGGAAGATATAATGGTAAAAGTTTTTCATTAATATACTGATCTAATTGATCACGTTTTACGTCGTGGTTGGCATGAGTAATTTGACAGCCAACTTGCATGCTTGGGAAATTTTATTAATTTATTAGGGACGCCCCCTACATGTTCCGTGGTAAAAACCGCGGGGCAGAAAGGTGGTATGCTCTAAAGTATGAAGAATGTATTTGATACGTTTTTTGCAGTCTTTGTTGTCCATGCCTTCAACCAAAGAAAAAGAAAGCAAAAAACTGGGTGAAGAAATCTTAGACCTTTTAAGTAAGCCTACAGCAAAGGAAAGGTCTCTCACAGAAAGGTTCAAATCTCAGGGTGGAAAACAGTTAATGGAATTTTGCCCGCATGGTACAAGATTAGATTGTGAGAGAAATGGGATATTAGATTGCAAAAAATTGCATTTTAAGAAGATTTTGCAGAAGCATACTGATGAAAGTTTAGGTATTAGAGTGAGTCTGTTCACTATATTATTTATTTCAAATATCATCAATATCGGTGATGGTTCTAGAACTGCCTTGTCCTTGATTGTAGTTTTCGAAATTAGTTAAAGTTATTCCATGTTTTTTTATATCAACACTTACAAGTTACTAACACTATTTCCCATAAATTAACTGCAACTTGATATCAGATATCACATTAGGATTTCTTCTCTGAAGAGAAAGTGTGGAAGGCTGTCAAAATACTCGTTTATGGCATTTACTTCTTCATCGGACTCAAAGCGTTTTCCAAAAAGAAATTTCCTCATGTTTGGGAAGAGATGTAAGTCTGAGGGGGCCAAATCCGAAGAATACTGGAACGGTCGAAGAAGTTTTTTCACACACCTGCTCATTTTTAGAAAAAAAAAATTGTAGTTCTTAACATTGGGGGTTATACGGGGGGGAGGGTATATTTTTTGGCGCTAGCGTATTTTAACGCCTTCAATTCCGGCAATTTGTTGTTCCTATCACTCATATTTCACCCATCATAGGTTCCATGTGCATTTGCCTTTAAAACTGAATCATAGAAATATATATTAAATATACGGTTCTGGCGCAACGTATCTAACATTGATACATCTGCTTCAAGGTCTGATCGATGTCTCAATCGTGTCTTGATCAATGAGATGAGTGAATGGGGAGTGGCGGAGTTAGTCATAGCAACGTTGCCAGATGGTGGGTACTGTCGGTAGAATAGGGGACAAATTTCTAGATCGTGCCAAATGGGTGGGTATCGAGAACTAATAGTATGGCCTGATTGACTAATATGGTCTATTTTTTTTGTTTTTTATACACGTTCGTACCTATTTTTTTTTATTAGAGAAGCTAACATGTTCTTTATGAGCTGATAAAAGCGTTGCGTAGGCAGTAGAGTCAGCCGACGACGCATTTTTTCATTAGTCTAGTTTTTGACTCTGTCCTTTTTCAGGTGATTGTTCCTTTCTCAATACATGTTTCCACATGGATACCTGTAAATATGTTCATTATGAAGTTGACAGATTGAGCACTTCAGAAGATAAACCCAGTATTCCTAGTGGGCCAGTTGTTAGGGTTGAAAGCACCACTTTGTATCCTCCTCAGTGGGTACAGTGTGACTTACGATACCTGGACATGACTGTCTTAGGTAAGTTCTCAAGTAAATCTAATGAATAACGTATTCTATCTGAAGGTATCCAACATAATGCTTTATTCGCGCGTCCGAAATGAGATACTGTAGCGTGATCAATGAGAATTTATCACAGCTGTTTCTATTGTTGGTATATATACTTTCAAAAGGTTAGTGTCGCATTGTTGCTGTATATAGAAGCAAATACAAGCATTTATTTATTTTTTGGACGTTGGAATATAGCATTAGGTTGCCATCTTCAGTTAGAATACCTTAATTAATAGTAAATTATACTAGGTCCAGTACCCAAAAAAGATCAGTAACTGAAATAAAAAACTAGATTTTTACTATCACAACAGCACAAAGAAATTAGTTGTAGTTCCACAATTTCTAAATGATTTATCTCTAGTTTCCCTTGATTGATTAAAAAAAATATATAGATAAAGTATTTTTAATCCCAATAAAAAAATTGGGGGATCCTCTATCAGTAGATAGCATGGCATAGCATAAGAACCACTGCATCTTAACTCATTGGTTGTGTAAAAAACGCTATAGTTGACCAACTATACCATGATGCAACTAATCACATGAAACAATGAAAACGAGTATTTTGGGAGACATCTCGTCAATCGCAGCGGCTACTGGAAAAAAGTTAAGTTATTTTTTTAGGGCTGAGAAGTACTTTTCACATGGCCTCCTCACTCTTAGAAGTCTCAAATAAGGCCCAGGCTCGAGTACTGCTCACATGTTTGGCGTGCTTCCGCCACCGAGTACATTGTCCATACTTGATGATCTCCAGAGAAGGGCGGTCCGACTGATCGATGACACTTTTCTAACGGACCTTTCCGCGCTGACGAGCATCCGTAAATCTGGCTCATTCCCTCTACCGCTATCTCAACGGGCATTGCTCATCAGAGCTCTCCTCCATGATGCCGCCGCGCGTTGAGCCTGCCAGACGGACCTGCCAAACTTCTGCCTTCCATCCTAATTTTTGGTACGTCCAGAACTTGCCGGTACGACCGCTCCTCTGTTCCTAGGGGGCCAAGATTGTGCAACAATCTGCCTGAGGAGGCTTCTCCCAGTTCTGCTAACATAAGGTGTCTTTGAGCTCCTCATTATGAAACAACATTCTGTATTCTGTAAACAGTATAAATTGAATGATTACTTCTTTGTAGTTCATATAAACAAAACAATTGCGATGCTGTGAAACGGTTTTGTATTACGGATCTACCACAGGATTCGTTCAATCGAAAGTGGGCGGTCCGGAACAACACAACTCTTGTCTGGAACCACCTCCCGATGATACTACACATCTGAACTAAAGGAATTTTGAAGTATTAAATCCTATCAGAAGAAAGTGTGACCATGTGTTCGCCTACGGCAGATTTCTTTTTCATATAAATGTAAAACTTTTTTCCTGTTTGAATTTGGATGAGGTAAATACAATACATAAACACAAATTTTCCAGGTAAATTTGCTGTGATAATGGCAGATCCGCCATGGGACATTCATATGGAACTTCCATATGGCACAATGTCTGATGACGAAATGAGACAACTAGGAATCCCGATGCTGCAAGATGAGGGTCTGATATTTCTCTGGGTAACGGGACGAGCTATGGAACTAGGACGAGAATGTCTCAAATTATGGGGGTGAGTTGTTTTCCGAAGCAGCCGCTCAGGCAGAAGCCTAAATACCGGGACATTGCTGCTGCTTTGAGGAGGTTTACGACACTGTTAATCCGATTTTTGAACTGCCTAAGGTTAGTAGAACTGAGGCAGATTGTTCGTCTTTCTCTATACCCTAAGGAGCAGTCGTACAGACAAGTAGAGAGGAGTCAATCGGACAACCCTCCTCTAAACAGCATCGAGCATGGATAATATGGTCAGGGCGGCAGCACCCAAAACATGTGAGCAGTACCGGAGGCTAGGCTTCATCTGTACCTTGTTCAGAGTGAGGAAGTTATGTGGAGAAAAGCACTTCTTAGCTCTAAATAAATAGCCTAGTTTTTTCTCAGCAGCTGCCGCGATTCGTGCCAGCTGATGTCTTCGGTGATCTGATGTGGACTTCGGTCAGCCGAAATGAACGGCTCTGCGGTAGAACTGCGCCATTTATCTCTCATCAGAGAGAAAGTCACTGCTAGTCTTCTCTCCAGCTCATATCGGCTAGACACTCTGAATTTCTGCATGTAGAGTGCTATCTTCAGTAATGCTGTGAATCAAATTGATCATACAGAAAGGAAGGTCGTTGATATGTAAAAGGAAGAACGTCAGAGCCAAGACCGATCCCTTGGGAATGCACGCGTTGACATTGTGGGATGAAGAGGAGAACCGATCAATTACGACCGGATATCTTGCAGCCAGACGGGAAGTCAGCGACCCATCTGCAAAGCTTGAGTTGAGACAAAAAAAATCATCTTATGGTTGTGTCATAAATTGAGCGTCATTTTGCTAGTGATACCAAGATGATTGCATGAGTAGCAATGTCTGCAAAATGATCAGATTTCAACTAAAATATGATAGCAATAATCGTCCTTTCAAGTAATTGTAGTGCAGAAATACAAATTCGAGTAACATACACGTTACGTACGTGATCAAGTATAGAAAAGAGGCAAACTTGATTTTACTGCATACAATTATAAACAGCATACATTTATTTTAGCAAATTTTTGTTGAAGAGACCTGGTATATATATGACATACAATCGAGAGACAATTATTATATAGAAAGATTCAACACCGTGGCATTTGAAACATCTATTTCTGTTGAAGGCTTAAGGCTTTATAATGGTTTACAACTAGAAATGAATATATCACCAAATGTAATACTATTTATGAGGAAATTAAGGGTACAAGTGATATATGATTTGTATGTCCACGTTATACACATTCCTTTGTTTTAGTCACTGATTCAACCCGATTTGAGCAGATGACAATGGTTATTTGAAATCGTCATTGTATACTTTTTCATTGTAGATATGATCGTGTTGACGAAATCATCTGGGTGAAGACAAACCAACTCCAAAGAATAATTAGAACAGGCAGAACTGGCCATTGGTTGAATCACGGGAAAGAACACTGCTTGGTAGGCATGAAAGGAAATCCTGCGAATTTGAATCGAGGTCTCGATTCTGACGTGATAGTGGCTGAAGTTCGGGCTACCAGTCATAAACCAGATGAAATTTATGGTAAGTGGAAACGAATTATACATTTTTTAACATATCTCAATATTTTTTATATGAATGTGGGTGCTGAATATGAACATGACTGTAAAAAGTTGTGAGGTATTGTGACTTCAAATTTGGAATCTACATATGCCATTTACCCAGGCAACATGTTTTCATCCCTACTACCAACAGAGGACTAACCATATATAGCGCAATTTCATGCACACTGAAAATCTTCAGCACGAACTTGGTCTCTAGGTAGGACAATGGACCAACTATTTTACTTTAAATTTACAATCGAGGTCGTCCGGATGATTCCCGTCTGCTTCTTCGCCTAAGTCAGTCATTGGGGTCTCCAAAAGAGTCATATTAATTTATTTGTGACAGATAACTGGCAGGAGCGAACTCATTGTATTTGCGTGATCATCCAATGGTCTTATGGCAGCTACCATCAGATCTGCCCTGCCCGTGTGGCTTTATAGTCTCCTTTACGGGTGGAGGAGGCTGCTAAGGTTAGAAAAATTCTAGCTCCCGTCCTTGTGAAGGGTTGCATGATATTTTGTTGTCCTCTCGTTTGATACCCTGGCTGCTAAAGGGCTAAGTGGACAGGTACACGTATGTCTGTTATTGGTTGTTCATGAAGCTTCACTGACATTTTCTGTTGCAAATTTGCTACCCTGATATGTTAGTAATCCTTGCCGAGCATTTAGCAAAGTTGTATGGATAAGAGACAACGCGTAATCCTTCCTGCAACCTTATAGGCATTCTTTAAGCAGCCCTTACCACAGTCCCATAATCCAAAATGGGAACAATGTACCTTCACATCAACGCGTCGTTAGATTTCCATACATTTATGGGATCCAAGATCGCAAGTGATACTTTAGCTTTACGTAGGCGAGCGTTCATGCGAGTTCTTGCCGATAACCTCTTGTAAGCTCAACTCGAAGGTATGTTATTTTTGCACGTATTGGCACCGTCTGATTTCCGATTTTAAATTACATTTCGGAGTTTCCACGCAAAACTGAACAGGATACAATCAGTCTTTTGCACACTACACTCCGGTCCCCACTTATTATATTAGTCTATGAATTCGCGCACGGTACATTCCGTATAGATAATCGGCCGAACTGGATTTGAAGAACGTTTTAGCACACACAAGTTATCTGTATACTGTGAGAAAATAGTTCCCGCAATGTAGTGTTTTGCAAGATCCGACACATACGTATAAGTAACATAAAACCGGACCCAAAATTGACCATTGTCGCACATCATTCCCTAGCTTCCATGAAATGGTTAAAACGAAAGTTTTCCGTGCACTGTTCGACCACTGGAGGTAGTTCTCTACAAGGTGGATGTCGGAGGCTGGAATATCGTGCTGTTGCAATTTGTGCATTAGTCCCTTGTTGTAGTGGCTAACGGCTTGCACGCTTAGCGCACTTGAGGATTTGAGAAGCATTTAGTTTTCCTTTCACAAATCCGCGTTCGTGGTTTGGGATTCACTTTTCTAACCAACGACTGGTTATAAAATGCTTCTGTTCTGCCACTTTTGCCATTATATTTGATTATATTTGAAAGAGTCGGAATGAGTTAGGATTTGTAATGCCCTTACCAGATTTATGCAGAAAAATACAATATCCTTGTTTCAAAATATCCTGTAGTAAGAATAAATTTGATCACATGCAGAAGATGCGTTTTCATCACTAGTCCCATAGATTTAATACAACGGTCTTGTATTCCATCAGGTCCAGGTGCTTTCTTGTATTTGAAAAGGCGTGCGCACTTCTGTTGGTTACATAACTATAGTGATTGCAATGGTAAGGTTACATAACTTGACTGCATGCCTTCTTGAATTGATGTGTCAGTTACTAAGGCGACATCCATCAGCTTTCATATGGTTTTTTCGGTTGAGCTGGTGTCTGGAAAGTGAGGTACCATGTTTCTTCTTTCACGTGATATATTTCATTTTGTGCTTCTATGTTATCATCATAACATGCTTCGGCTGGTCCTTGGATATTGTATTTTCGGTTTCTCTGCTTTACGTTAGCTCGAACCTTTGGCGGCAAAAGTTCACGGTATGATGTATGTCTAAAAGGTGCCATCTGGTCTAACGCCTGGACAGTCGATTTTTGTAATTGCTCCGTTCCAGTCTATGGGTCTGCATATACTCGAGGCAGATCCCTGCAACTGATTGCAACCCATCTTTGTATGTGGGCGGTTTATATTATATATTATTTACATTCATTAAGTTTTGAAAACAATGTCTCCGAGATGGCGTCCCCTAGCAGCTCTGCTAGAGACGACTCCTGAAGCTCTGAACAGCTCGTTTACACTTATAGCTTTCACTGGACGACCCCATATCACTGTTCAACGACATTTCTCTCACAACATTCATTCAATGTTGAGCTATATGAGCTGTAGCGCTATCTAAAACCAAACCATATTGAAAGAGCTCGTTGAGGAGGAGGTATTATGGGATACTCAATGTTTTGAAAGAGATGTTTCCAGAACGTCCCGTCTGGTTGAAAGGTGATGTGAGGTGGCCTAAGGCTACCTGATTTGAGCATCCGTGACTTTCTCTGAGATATCTAAAGAAAAAGGCGCTTTGACATCCTATTAGAGCTGAGAGAGCAACGGATTCTTGAAGTTCTCCGCGATATGTGTAAACTACCTTTTCAGAGCTTCGGAAGCGGAGCGTGATGACTGGTGTCTAACAGTGTGTTGGTGCTAACGGCCGCCATCTTGAAGACATTATTTTCAAAAATTGGTGTATTAAAAATCATAAACTGCTCATTCCAAAACTCAAAACATTTCTTTTTTCTATAAATCCAAATGCCTTTTTGTAACCCATTGAAACTGCTCAATTGGTTTTGCCTCACCCTGTATAAGGTCTGTCCAAATACGATAACTGCCATCTATTACGAGATTGGTATCTGGTATTTCCGTAGATCTCATACTTTGGATAGAGGATAGTTTACTATGCTTTTGTTCGTTGTTCCAAGACCAAGCTTTGGCCATACTGATGAGTTGCCGAAAAGCACGAAACAGCTGTCCGGGGGAAGCTGTCTGTGGTCTGATGAACGAAATCACTATGTTCAGTTGGATGAAGTAACTCAGCAGGCTGAATTCGAATACGATTATCAAAAAAAAAAACGTGAAGAGACGTCGGTTCAAGTTTGAGGTAGAACATTCTTGGCAGTTTTTAATTTATTCTCTTAAAGTTTGGATGATGATCTGCTGACAACTAACATCCTTCAATCTTGTTCAAGGTATGATAGAAAGACTCTCTCCAGGTACAAGAAAAATCGAACTATTCGGCAGACCTCACAATATCCAGCCAAACTGGATAACACTTGGTAACCAAGTCGATGGCATCAGGCTGGTAGATCCAGATTTAATAGAGAACTTCAAGAAACGTTATCCAACCGGAAATTGCATGGCGCCTCCACCGGAAAATACACATCCTATTGTCTAATTTTTATGTCTAGAATTATATTTGTATCAAATAGATAAGGGCAAAAATGAAGACGAAAGTTTTGAAATGACATTATGTTGTATATCATTTTTTTATTCATGTCCAAAACAATGTTGAGAGTCGTGTATTCTTTTATTCGTAATTCAAAGTTAATATACCTTTGAAAAGATTTTTTTTGTTAAAAACCTTGCTTCAGGGAAATAAATATGGTGCAAGATGTTACTTATAACAAGCGTAGTTTGGTTGAAATTTTGTATTTTTTTTTCTTCAAAATTGAAGAGTGAAAAAATTAGTTCAGCTAGTTTTAAAACACTGTGGTCACAAGTCTCACAAAATTTGACACTCACTATTAGATGCATTATCACTAAAATACTGTTAACGTAAGAAGAACTTTTCTCAGGGTGTTCCGTGCTTTCTTGACTACAAGTTGACACTTCGAAACTTCAAACGTGCTTGGAATTAAAAAAATCCTTGTATCTCTTCGACAGTATGCTACAAGTAAGTATTTTGTGCTAAAATATTAATTTACCACCAAGTATAATGTATTAATCATAAATAATTTCCAGACTGGTCCATACAAATAAGTATTGCTTTATCAAAGGATGGAATAGTCGAAATTTTATAGTATCAAATCCAAGAACAAAATACAATATAATCCATCAATATGTAGCAGCGAGGGGCAATAGAAACTGAAGAATTTGGCAAGCAATTGAATTGTACAACATTAGGTTTGTGACAGACATTTTTCTTCAGATGAGGTAGAATTATCGAGAAGGAAAGTGAAGACGCATTCTTTCTTTGCGCCAGTGAATCTTGTAGTTGGATTTTATGTATACAGGGTGTTCCAGAAATAACCCTCTAGAATGACACGGGAGGTGGACTGGCTTCAGATCAATCAGATAAAATCAACATGACTTTAGTAAAAGTTTTCTAGCTTTCGGGATATTACCACTTTTAGTTTTTTTCAAAAAAACACTACTTTTTGCTCCTTTTTTGCCTGTTATGGCTATTAAGAACTTCTAACTTAAGAGTTTTTTCCTGGGCTACTATTTTGTTTCAATGTGAAAACCTTTACTAAAGTCTGGCTAATCAGTATGAAAAAAATGTACTAGACTGAATCGGCAAATGATCTAAAAAACGAGCCTATTTAATGCTCTTTCAAAAATAGTATAACATTTGTAGGTTTTTTCTGCTAAAAATTGAATAATTCGATGTTTTGTCATTGAAGTCGTAATACTTGCGAAATACTACAAATAAAAAATAAGTGCAGCCGTCTTTCATCCAAACCACTGAGTAAAACGAGCTAAACATGACTATCTCGCTCTCACTTTCATTGTTCTCTCGGTAGCATTGTCACCTCGAGGGACAGAGGAGGTACCTGCGCACCGCACTCGCAGGGTTAATTTAGTACTGCTCCTTGTGTTGTGCTACACACGAGTTATTTAGCTCTTTCGATGTTTAGGTCGTTTTATTCCTTACTGATTTGAATACAAATGACTGCTGCAGTTATTTTTTATTTGTAGTATTTCGCAGGTATTACTACTTCAATGACAAAACTTGGGGTTATTCAATTTTTAGTAGAAAGAACCTACAAATGTTACTATTCTTAAAAGAGTATTAAATAGGCTGTTTTTTAAGATCATTTGCCGATTCAGTCTGGTACATTTTTCACAGTAATTAGTCAAACTTTAGTAAAGATTTTCACATTGAAACCAAATGTATTAATTTTACATTAGCATACCGTGCTAGTTTTCAATGGAATGAATACTCGGTTGTCTCAACCAACAATTAATGTTAGCCCAGAAAAAAACTCATGAGTTAAAAGTTCTTAATAGCCATAACAGGCAAAGAAAGGAGCAAAAAATAGCATTTTTTTGAAAAACCTAAAAGTGGCAATACGTATCTCGAAAACTATAAAACTAAGGTCATGTTGATTTTATCTGATTGATCTGAAGCCAATCTATCTCTCGATTCACTCTGGCGTGTTATTTCTGGGACACCCTGTATATATTTTCAATGACGTGGATAAACCTTTAAATAAAAGTAGCTATCCAACAAGAATAGAATGATAAAAAAGCCACTGTTGTTTTTGTTTATTCAATAAGTGATCAAAAGCACTTATGTCCACTGAGTGGACTTTACTTTTAAGCTAACTATTTGTTCTTTAAGTTTCTTATCGCAATCTTTAAAACAGACTCAGATCGTATCAAAACTTCACGAAACTCTGTTCAAAAAATATAGTTTTGTTGTATAGATAGATAATTTTTTATTTATTCTTAAACCGAGGCATAGAACATTGTTAAAGAGAAGTCTACTAGCTAGCTAAAACTAACTATTTTTATGAACTACTAAGAATTCATGTGCCTCCACAATTATAAACAAGTATATTTAATTACAGAATTTTCCAAAGAGTCAATAAAATTATGTATTGGAGCAACAATTTTACTGGGTAGTAGAAGCTCTCCATAATATGTTGATAATGCATCTAGACAAAATTGAACGGGCGTAATGGTGGTGGGGAGGCGAAGCTTGGCAACTAGGCCACCTTTGGCCCTTTTGCCGAACCCATAATACCAACACTGTACTACTACACTAGCCATCGATTGGTAAAGTAAACGACAGGGGTATTGTTTTCGTTTACATTTTTTGCCGATAGTCATAAAACGGCTATAAAACCGAGAACCGGAGGCATGAGGACAGAGACGGATGAGATGAGACATGACTGAATCAAGTTGTTGAAGTAACGTGGATTGTTATTGTGATTAATTATCCTGACATTAATTAAAAATTCATACTATAAATACTAATAAATACTAAAATATACATATGTATATCTGCTGGTAGCGATGTCAAAGATGTAAAGTTACATCAAGATCATTCACCTAAATACATATTTCATTCCAATTTCACATTTTACTTCTTTATTTAAAAAATTTCGTACAACAACTTAATCCTCTTCTTCCGAAGACTCATCATTGACGTCAATAATGAACTTCGCATTGCCCATTTGGTGAATCTTATGTAAGTCTTAAGTAAGTAAGTCTTTATATTCATTTTCAGTTTGTAGGACTCTGTCGATGGTTTTCGTCCAAGATAATTCAGTGATTTGGGCTGCCTCTGATCTGATTAGGTCGGCTACGGCTCGGTCACTAGTCGGATTTATGTTCCTTCGGCGCATTCTTCATTTTAGTTGAGTCCATATTAACTCTATGGGATTAAATATACAAAAATAAGGTGGCAGTCGTAGGATCACATGCCATTTCGTCAACCGCATACCTTTTCTCAAACTGTCACAAGACCTCCAACAATTATTTTTTTGGATAAGAATCCTCAAAATGGAGATCGTGCTCCACAAGAAATTCTTGAATGTCTTTCTTGCAGGACCACGAATTAGGCACCTTTGCGATTTGTCTGGAATGGTAGCAGGCATTATCCATTACAATGACACTTTTAGGTTTCAAATTTGGCAGCAATCTGGTGGAAAACCATTCCTCAAACATCTCACCATCCATATTCTCATGGTAGTCCAGCTTGCAGTCCGCTATTTTCTTTCCAGATAACAATAGCGCATTTTGAACCTAACCACCTTTCAACTGACCATGTTTCATCCATTTAATATATTGGCCTACCTTCTTCCCTATATTCTCTGATCGTTCCTAAGTAAGCGATTCCACTATGTGCTTACTTGCCATGACTGCAGATCTCTTGTTGATAATTCCAAATTTTAATCCGACCTTTGGCAGCCACTTCCGAAATGTCCGCAGGGAGCAACTGTCGCCTCCTTCCATCAATTGTCGATGTACCATCCCTGCTGTGGGAATTTCATTACGTTTATAATGATCATACACTATGTTCCTTATTTTGGCAGTTGTTGCTGCACTTAAAGGTATAGATGTCCCATTGTCAATTCTCCTTTTTCTTAGTTTGACACCGTTACGATTAATTTTACAAATTGTAGGATATGTCATGTTAGTCAGTTCGGCTGTTTTTTTAAATACACTACTATTGACGCTATCACTCATTTCACGTAACAGTCCATTATAAACATTAATGCAAATCTGTTGAACATCAACTGATATAATAAAACTGATTCAGCGAGATCTAAGTTGCAACGTGTGCGTGTTATAGACAACACAACGTCCTTGGCAAGGAATTAACTTCCGAGGCGGAGATACGATCCCCGGGTTACTAGCTCGACGCGCTGGTCACAGAGCCTCCGAGGCTCCCAAATTAAAGGGGTGACTTCTTGGGTAGTTTAAAAAAAGTTTATATAAACATATGTTCGGAATTGCTCCGTTTTCAAGAAAACACGTAGTCAAATGATCATCAAAGAAAGCACCTTATTGTACACCCTAGAATTATCATATAGGTCATCGGGTTTCGACTTTTTTTTAATTAACACGTTTTCCTTTCAACTTTATCTAAATTCTCGGCGATACGTCACTTACCATCTGAATATCAATAAATTTTAGCAAGATCGGCTAATAGGGTTGAATTTTTACAAAAAAAAAGGACTTTAGTATTTTAGTAACTTCTCCTGTATACAGGGTGTTCATTTGAAAACTTCCCAAAACCGATTTATCGAACACCACTGATTAAAATAAAAAAAGCCGAGATACATCAAAAGATTTGTCAAGGAGGACAACTTTTTAACCAAAAACTACTTCACCCCCCTTTCACCCTCTTTCCCCCAGGGTCATCCCCCAAATTTTAAATGACAAGGGGTATCGAGTAATTGCTTCTTTGAAAGGTCTTTATTTTGACGTTTGATTTTTAAAATCGGTCGATTCGTTTTCAAGAAAAATCTTTATCTTATTTTATTCAAATAGAAAACAAAAACACACGAAAATATCACTTTTTATTTCAATAAGTATTCAAAATGTCCGTTATTGGCCAAACAATGATGTTGATCCAAAATTTTGGGTTGGGGAGTAAACACAACGGATTTCAAATGGCCCCATAGAAAAAAGGCTAATGGCGTCAAAGCAGGAGATCTAGAAGGCCATTCTATACGCCCTCTTCGCCCTATCCATTCATCTGGAAACTCGTCGTCGTCTAGCCATTGCCGAACCGGAAGAACATTGTGAGGAGGAGCGCCGTCTTGCTGGAAATATATTTCTTTTAATCAGTAGGTTTCGATAAATCCGTGGTGGGAAGTTTTAAAATGAACACCCTGTATGTAAGTCAATTCAAAAGTCCTGCATTTTTTACAACTTAACCTGCCATCTATTTTTTGTTTTGGTACCTCATTCCGCAATCGTCTTTTGCGTCATGTGTCTACAGTTCTTTGTAAAGCATTCAGAACTTATTGTCAAGCACAACAGATGGCTTCTGTCATGAAGACCCAGTGCCAATTCGCACTTGGAGAGCTTCTTGTCTATAGTGTATCTATAGTCTATGGTTTTCAGAGGCTCTCCATTGGACCTCATGATAGGTACCAATATGCAGTGCCATTTATGTAAAAAATTTGTTCATTCACAATCCTTTTTCCAACGATTTTGAGGTCGTTTTGTGCACATTTCAGGGTACTTCATTTGCTCCACCGAGACACTGAAATTTCAGCTTTGCAAATAATCAACATTATAGATATTTAGAACATTAAGTGGCTGTCATATTTTGGACGAGAGCTAGATTAGCTTATTTACTAAAAGGAGAGTTTTATTAGTCTTCTATAATGACGAAGTGGATACAGGGTGAATTAAAACAATAAAGAGAAGTTTTGCAATATATTTTACTCACATCACTTTTAAATAGAATTAAACTATGAAAAGTATTAACAATAGTAATCCACAATAGAATTTAGAAGCTCTAACAGAAATGGTAACTGCGTCTGAATAGTCAATTTACACTTTACATAATTATTCTGCATTATTTTTTTAGTTAAACATTTTTTAAGTACTAAAAATATTTTGTGGTAAAGTGCAGTTTCATACAGGCTATACTGAAGATTTAAAACCAGCTGTTTTGTCTCTTGAGACTGACTTGCTCGTTCAGCGATTTTTGACTTCATTATAAAAATTTTACCTTGACAGTCGAGAGGAAGGAAGGATATACCTTGACTTCAATGACGTTATCCTTTAAGGTTTAAATTATAAATGATCAGTTGAACATCCAGGTTTTACTCACATTTCCAGAATATTACTTTTTAAGATATATTAATTGACAAACTACCGAAAAAACAATTTTTGAACTGGATCGCTGAGTATAGAAACGGCTTATTATAATCAAATTCTAATTACAGGACATAATTTAAAAAAAAATGATAGAATACATTTGAAAGTCTAACAATACTTTGCGTTGTAAATATATCATTTCAGTAAATATAAATATTATAGTAACATTATATATATATATACCTTCTATTGAAAGCTTTCCAGTACCTATTATATTTCTATTTTTAAGGATCACTTTTTGTGTGACAGATGACAGTATGTAAGCATTTAGAGATGTACAATTTTTAGCTAGAATTGTAAATACACAATCTGGCTGATATCTTCCCTTAAAACATCTACACAAATATACATTTTTACTCACAGCTTGCTTTTAAGAGCTTTTGATATTGACAAGTTTATAAAAAAACACCACTGTCGTGTGAGCACGTTACTGCTTTAAAAATTAGGTGAACAAATAATGAAAAAGTGCTAGAACATTTGTGAATAAATTGAATGTGAAATGTAGTTTTTTCCTAATTTTCTATACATCTCGATACCTCCTGCGTAACAGACAAGTCTGCGCCACCGGGACCACATACATTCGCTCTGCTACGCGATGCCACAGAACATCCGCACACCTCTGGTGCCCGCGATACAACCTCTCCGAATGTATCCGTCGTGAATTTACTGCACAAAACCACAAATTGGACTGGCGCGACGTTTTCAGGATAACACATCTATTTACCTCTGGTATGAAAGCTTAACGCTACCCACCATGACGAAATTCTGCTGGCATAACCACGGTAGGATGTGTAGCTAAAGACTGAAGGGGTTTAGTGAGTATATCACTGATGGAGAATCTTGCACTTCGGACAGGAAAGACCGACAAGGCAATACTGTCGAGCTTTTCTGCCTGAGAGTGGCTATACAATGTTCCCACTGTCCAAAAAAGGGTAAAGTTATCGAGTTCTCTCGCAAAGCCTAACATTAATAACCGTTTCCTAAACACATTGCCCGTGAGCTGTTTCTCCCGAGGATAGCGCAGCCGAGTAGATGCCTTCGAACAAACCGTAAGTGAGCGGTTTTTTCGCGGCTGGTCAGAGGTTAGCGGTTGTATTGACAGCGCGAAGCTGAGCTAGTTCGAGCGCACTTGATAACTCAGACCGTCTGTTACGTGGGGGTATGGATCTTGTTGGATGATTGTGGATTTAACATATTTTAAATGCAATTAACTACTTAAGGCGTTACATAGGAAAGAGGCAAGCCTTACTTTCTTCAATCTACTACGAAACCTAATATATATATACATTGAGTTATATCTCTAAAGTAAGGAAATACCTATATCACAATTTAATGGTATTTAAAGTATAATAATTAATACGTATCCAACAACTCTGCAGATAATCCCTTCAAGGATTTATTTTTATAAGGAAAATATGAATATACTTGTAATAAATACTTTTCTGTTCATTTATTGTCATAAACTTACTTATCATAGTCCCACATATTAGCATAAAAATCAGAACGAAATATTTTTCTTTTCATGCCATATATTTTGTAAAGGCATAGAAAGGTTTCCGTAGAGTTGCTGATTTTTTGCTATTGTTCAACTAAGTACATATAAAATACCCAATTTACAGGGTGTCCCATTTTAATCTCCCCACCTATATGTCGTTGGAATTCGAGGGGGCAAAATGATGGTGACCTTGACCATGGCCTTCACCGCGACCTTCAAGGCCATTTCTAGTTCATGCGAAATTCTACGTCCGAATATGATCTTAACCTCTAGCAAAATTGTTCGACTGCAGTTGTGGGGGTCACCCAAAGGTGACCTTGACCTTGACCTTCAAGGTAAGGCAACATTTTTAAAGGAAATCCCTTATTCCCTTACCGGAATTGGAAAATTCAGGAAATGTTACGTCCGAATAGGACATTGACCTCAAAGTCAAGACCATGTCAATTTTAAATCTCATTTGTAAAGCAACCCCTTGATTTTCATGCCAAAATTGTAGAGAGCAAGAAATGTTATATTTAAACGTGTAAAATTTGGGAAGTAATGGTCAAGAGCACGTTATGATGACCCCACAAAGCTCACAACTACATTTTTGTTGGAGCAAATTATTTTCAATGCCTTGATTGGACCTTGACGGTCATAATGATAGTCATAGTCAAGGTTACAGTAAGGTGTAAAATTTCCTCCTCTTGGAGTTCCATTTCTAAATATTCGCTTGATCTTGAAATGACCTTGTATGTCACAGTCAATGTTATGGTCAAGGTCACCATGTTTTTCCCTCGAACCTTACACATTTTGTTTGACACTTTTTTTCTAGGATGCGTAGTTTTTGAAATACATACGTGGGGAGATTAAAATAGCATAATAAGAGGTGCATAATCGACAATCACGATCAAATCAACAACGATATGAAAATGAGATAAGAATGTTGCAGCATTGTTAAGCCTATTCTCCAAGAAGATGCTCAACCATATGCTGTATTTGCACGTCCACATAAAATCCATCATCACAGCCACGCATGTTGCCAAATAGAATTGCAGTAGTTCACGTATCGGAAATCAAACAGACTTCATTTTCCTTTTGTATAAAGTTGATTATCTTTAAACATGACACAATTTGTCAAGTCGAAAGATCACCTCTCAACCCCCTGGAAATTATATTCCTAAGATTTCGTACTTCCAGAATTGCTCAACCACGGAAAAAGAAATATCAAAACCTGCGACAGCAGTCTGAGAGGTGGTAACGCGCTGGCACGTAGAGACGGTGGTGGTCAGGTGTGAGCATAAGTGTCTTTCAGTCTTTCAATTAGATTGAGTATCTTCTGGCGGAATGTTAATCAAAATGCTGTAAAAGCAAATATTTATTACGTGGCACTTAATTCATTTAGAAATAATACTTCTCTTGAACTAAATACAGAATAAAAGTGTTTCAATTATGATATCTGAACTACTGTGATAAATTAGATAAAAGTACAAAGGTATATCTAACTGTACCAGAACTAGACAAGTATGAATGTCGAGAAAGCTTCATTCAACAAAAGAGATTATTTGTTAATAATAAGGTCTCAAATGCTGACACCCTTCGGTATCTACTCTCCTTTACGTTTAAATATATTCCTGTAACCATATATGTCAGAAAATGTCAATATCTAATTTTAAGCCATTTTAACTAAACTGATCACAATATTCATATCTGCCTTGAACTGTAGGTAGAGCAAACATCTACTTTTTCAACAATATAGTTATTGCTTATTCATTCATAAAATTTCTATAATATATCAACACATACGTACCAACAAATTTCCTATCCATAACAATATATACAATACAAAAATAAATAGATCAAGAATACAACATAATACTATTTTCACTAAATATAACGGATCAACGAATTTATATGAACATATCTTGCACGAACGATGTAGTTTTTCTTTCTGCAGAACTAAGTTTTATATTTTGGTGAGCATATCTAGACGCAAAACTTCTGGTATCTCGATATCTTCCAGGCAAATTGAAGAAGAGTGAAAATTGAAAACTGTTGCGAATCTGTACTTCACATCCATAAGCAGGTTCTGAAAATAACAATAATAAAACATATATGTATTATGTATCAGGATACATCCTGGACCCGTATTCTCTAAAGCAAGGAGTAGAATAACTTAGAGAATATGGGCGTGGTTTTCTTTATTCATAAATTTCCAATTTTGAAGTTTCTGAAAATTGAAGATTTTAGAATTCTGAAATTTTTGAAAATATTTTGGTAGTTTTGAATACGAGAGAGTAGAATCACTGAGAGAAAGTGGGCGTGATTTTTCCAAATTCTTCAGAATTTTTAAAATTTTCTATTTTGAATGGACTACAAATTTTGAAGATTTTAAAATTCAAAGTGCAAGTTATTAACAGTGACAATACATTTATATAAAATTCATCTATGTTCATTTGTTTTGTCTTTTTTTTTTTTCGCTACTATACAGTGTGTTGCGACAACAGCCTGAACGGTCCTATACCACTCCGAGGTCGCGCGAAGCCATAATTGCAATTTTAAGTCGGCACTTCGTACAAGCAATGCCCATGACCGCCTTGGGAAGGCGTATCTGTTTTTGATGTACCGAACATCGTCCTCCGATAACGCCAAAACCCACCCAGAACTGTTATCGCAACTGTTATGCAATCTTTGATTACTAATGCTGTATCTACATTGGTCATTATGTTAATAATTTGTGAGCCCCATTCTGACACAAAAATCATTTCCAGTTGAATTCTTACCTGAGCAGCAGGATTATTTCCAATATCCCTCTCTTTCAGCTTTTGTTGCACCTTTGAAATGAAAGATACAGGCACCCTTTCTTCATACTCAACTGGTGTGTACAATTGGAGTATCTTACAGATCTGAAGCGGAGTTAGTGCGCTACACATGTCACACACTGTATTTACATCCTCATCGGTTTTGCGCGCCTGAAGGAGATGCGCTGCTTGGATTATTGGTTGTAAGGTACTTTGGATAGATGTTTCCTGTAACAAGGTAAATTGGCTTCTAAGGTTACAATGCAGCAACCGCTTTTGGTTTCATGTAGTTTTTGATTCATCAGTAAAAAGGATTTGAACCGATATTGATTCTGTTGTGCAAAGAGACGTATTGATATTCTGCAAAAAGGGTATGGCGCCTATTGAAATTAATCAAAATATTGTGACGATTGTTGATGGTGTGCATCAGTAGGGATGTAACGAATATTCGCAGGTTTCTTGATATTCGCATCAGCATTCGTAAAACTCTTGAAAATGTTTTGCGAATATGAATATCAGGTAAAGCTAATATGGAAATATTATTTAGGTACTTGAATAAAACAAAAGAATATCGGCTTTTTTTCACTAGCTGATCCGTTCCCACAATAACTGATCGTCAAACATTTTTACTTGTGATGAAAGTATCTTGTGTGGTACTGAGTGTTTGGGATTTACTGTATATTTTATTTCTTGTGCTAGGATTTATTGGGCGAGTATGTTAATTGTTTAGACCTTCTCTCTATAGTATGTTTGATGTTCTCCCCCTGCATTCAGGCTAAGAAGTAAAGTATACTTAATAGAGTACCCGTTTCTTAAGCAACGAGTGGCATGTTCTTTTTTGTGTTTAAAACATCCGCGAAAATTACTTTGCTGCTAGATCTGAATTGTGGAGATATGCTGTGCCTAAGGTTTATTTTTTATAAAACTGAAGAGCACTCAATTTTCAATCGCCGGCGCCCTTCTCTCGCCAAGTAGTTGCAATCTACGATTCAACAGGCAATATAACAATGGCGCTTGACAACCAAAAAGTAGAAGCTCTCATACTTCTTGAATTTACTAAAGCATTAATCATTTATTTCTTGTGTCTAAATGCAGTTACTAAAAATCGCTTTCAAAAAGTTCGTCTAAATCAACAGTACTCTACTACACAAAAAATTTGTTCTGGTGTACCACAGGGATCAGTCTTAGAACCCCTGTTATTTTCATTATATAATTCATATTTAGAAACAGAGGTAAGATTTTGCCGCATACAATTTTTTGCCGACGATTCATTTAGGAGAAATGACTTGGAAACAGCCAATTAATTGATTAATCAAGATCTTCCCAAAGACAAATATTTTAGTAAAAGCAAAACAAAATAAAAACGCAATGAAATAGTTCCTGTGGATTATTCTAAGAAACTAGGTATAATGCGTGATGACTTAAAATTTGTTGAACATGTAAACCATCTAATTTCCTAGTGCAAATCGTATTGCTTAGCGATTTAATTAGATATTATAACAAAAAATCGTATTCAAAGTACTATGAATATATGTTGCAGACTTGTAAATGATTTCAGAAAATATGATCATATGTCGAAAGCCATTAATGACCTCAAATGGATGAAAATTGATTAAATGTATAAATACCAGCTAAAAGTTTGGCTCAGGTTTGATTATTTAAAAACACCATCATATTTAGTAACCAAATTTATACGTAGAGGAAATATGCATGGCATTAATATTAAATATAGAGAGACTTTTTCAATTCCACGTCACAGCACATCTTTATTTCAGAATACATATATTTACAATGTGATCAAATTACATGATTCCTTAGACCATAGTTTAGAAGAATCGAATCTATAGCACAAATTCAAAGAAAAAGTGAAAGAAATTCTGCTTGATCAGCAGCGAAATCTGTTGTAACCAATAAGTGTTAACTGACCTTATGTTTTTTTATGACTCTACATTAATTACGGTTTATTATTGTGGTTATTGAATACAGAGGTATTAATTTTCAACAAATTCTCAGTTTTAATGCATATCGTATTGTTAACGGGGTTAGGTGGTAGAATAGATATAGTACTTAAATCTCGCCTCCTGTAATATTATTACACATAAAAAATACGTTAATGATTATTATTCTTATTATTATTATATATTTGCTATTAAAATGACGGAACACCGATTAAACAAGTGTGTTGATGAAAAGAGTACAAATTGAGTAGAAAGATGAAAACTGTATATATTGAATATAATTTTAGTGGATTAGAGGCAGAATATATAGGGATCTACCATCAACCAAAATCTACTTACGTCGAGTTGTTTTTCTCTGATCCACATCTCCAGATGGGATAAATTGTGCCTGATCTGCAAACCCTTGGACCAATTACACAACTCCTTCCTAAGCAGAAGATTGTTTAAACTGGAGGCGCAAATGAAATAGTAAATCTGCCTGAAGATTTGGGAGATGGCTTCGGTGCTCACAGCATACAATGTCAATATCTAAAAATAACATAGGAAAAAGAAGGTTATAACTGCCGATTCGTTTAGAGGTACTTTTTACAATAAACTTTATCGGGTTACCTTTGTTACCAAAGAAAAGATGCGTTCTTGCCATTAAGTTATAAAGGTTATTTATTCTAAATTTTTGGATTTACACAAGCGCGGCAGATTAAGAGCCGATCAGAATAGTAAAAAAAATCGATACTTAGATTTAAGTGTGACGTAACGGAGTGTGAGGGTCACAAACTTGCAAAAAAACGTCACCTTGACCTCCAGCGCGATAGATTTTTTAATTCATAGAAAAAATTCAAGGATAACGGAAATTGTATAATCTAGTCGATTTTAACGTGCGGAAATAGGAAAATTTCATGAATAAGTTCAGTGCATGCAACTGCTGTAGAACATGTATTATTCCTCATTCCCTTCCATTTTTCTCAGCTCTTGCTCTTTAGCACTAGTTTCTGTTGCCATGAGGCCACAACAGCTGTTCTAATGTCAATCAAATTTGTCATGTCATTTATTAATTGAAAATCGCAGTATTTCGTTGTCAGTCTGAGAACCTTTCACTCTACCCACGAATATAGTAACTTTGATCTATTATTGAGGTACCTGAGGAAAGAATGCCCAATAACTTGAAGGCTGTTTGAAGAGGCTATCACAGAATGGGAGGTTATAAATAAAAAAATCTATCCGACCCTGACCTACAAGCGACTGTACAGTTTGAAACTCTTAAAAGAAGTATTAGAATTCAGGTCATACATACCTTATAGAAATGCGTTAGTTCTTGAAGAAGGGCCGTCGTGGGTTTTTGGGTCGCCACAGGTGTGCCAGCTTCGCTGGCACTGCTTGCAGTTCGCCGTCTAAAACCACTACTCATCCCTGCAATCTCTTCATGTTCCAATACGGCTGGTACTATAAGGTGGTGGATCTTTTCTTCTACGTTTTGGACTACAGCTAAGAAAATTAGACGTAGATACAATAAATAATAATGATTATACAAAATTTATTAATATAAAAAAGAGCCCCAGAGTCACAAGTACGAGTATTAACAACTTCAAGATATTCCGTCGTGTACTTTAAAACTTTCAAAAATGTACACATATTATACCATATGTAAGTTCTACAATCCATTTACTTAAGATCCACATACGTATAATTATGTTTTAGTTTAGATTTTAAGTTAGCTTAGTTAGGGGGGGTGGTGGTCCAATCCTAAAAATTATGAACAAAGTCAGGCTAAATATGCAAAATTTAAAGTCTAGCCGGATTCACAGGCGGAGCAGATATCTTACACTATAGTCATACCTTGGAATATCCAGATAGCTATGTCCGAAAACACCTGCCTATACTCAGTCAAATCAAAATTCTTCAAACACTGCTCATTTTGCTTGGGCGTATTTTTCTTTTGGAATGCAGCATCTCCACTGTACTGCTTCATAATGTTCACCAATTGGCTGGTGTTGGACAGCCATAGGGTGACAGTTTCTGAATCTTTCAGCCTTTTCCGGACTGTTTTCTTGATGGCGCTGGACGCGGCAGACAGAAGCGACTTCACCGCATTTTCGTCATTCATATGGTCCACGTACCGGATGCACATGAACAGAATGTAGGCTGGCAGACCAGGAAGTAGTTTTATGGCGGTCCGTGGACTCAAGTCTGGAAAGTACATGCACTGATTAACATACTCCAACTAACACATAAGGAGCAAGCCTACGATTTGTTTGTCTCCAAAATCTCAGTCTGTAGTAAGGATAAAAGTACATACCACAAGTAGGCTTGACATAAGGTTATTTTTAACAGTTCTGTCTGTAGTGTTAGACGCTTTCGGTTGGAAGCCCTTGCATAATTTGTAAAGAGCGGCACACGCCTAATGCAGGTAGATCGTTCCACCGGTCAATATTATTCTTATTACGTTGATACAACGTTGTTACTTTGGTATACAATGGTAGTCAAATTAATCAAAAGTATACACTAAAACTACGCAACTTTGGCGACAAACAATGCAACGTAAGCATAAAGGCTTGGCCCTATTTTATTCAAATTCGTTGGAATAGATTCCTTTGAGACCATCGGAATGGATTTCTATTTCAGTATCGTTCCTTTCGAACGATTCGTTCAGGAATGACTCAGCTCTGCATCGAGGTAGTCGAAACGTAAGTAAATCTTCATTCTATATAAAGGGAAAGCCAAATTTGTCTGACGGCTTGAGTTCAATGAGTATGAGAGAGAAGCACGTAAAGTGGGTATCAACACATGCTAGAAAGAAATAGAAGCCGGCTGAAGAGCGAATGTCATCACCACATTGCCTAGCAACGGTGACGCAAACCGTATAATCTGTCGCGTTGCCACCAGAAAATGTTCGCACAGGCTTCTACAATAGGTTAGCTTACTGTCCAATTCAAGGACGTCTGTTCGAACATCAAATTTAATGTTTTCTTTTTCATTTTAATTAGAATTACTTATTTCAATTTTGATGTAACTTAGTGTTTCAATCTATTTTAGAATTATCTTTGATTTCCACTGATGGTGAGAAAATCATAACATCCTGAGTTATTGTTACATTTTGCGATAGCGAGCGGTATGTTTATCATTATGTGCTTGATTACATTATGAATCAAACAGGTTCTGTATGTGGATTACTGTTAAGTCCCAGCAAGAGCCTTCAAAATAACATAGCACTTTGTTATACGCGTTGCCTAAACGTCATGACGCTTGTTATCAATCATTGGCTATGATGTGATTTAAAATCTACTTCTGAGATGGCATTACTGGAGGTCTAAGGTGTAGGTATGTGTTGATGATAATTACATCGAGTTCTTGTCTCAAATACACTTAATTGATATTCAAAGCTAGAAATTAGTTGCGCAGCAACTTTTTCTTACTATTCTCAAAATTACATATACAAATTTGCTGAATTTAAAGAATGAGAGAGATAAGAAATAATTATATTCACTGTACACTGTCGAAGTACAAGCCATACACATGCTAACAGTAATTACACACAACGCGGGCGCGGTGATGTTTTCCAGTAATTCTCCTCAGCTTTTCGTAATGTATAACTTTGAACATCACCTCTCTTCAGAAAGCACAACATATAGATAACCCGTCACATTCAGCATATTCAGTAATGATTTTCTCACACAGCAAATATCACTGATTTTATACACATGTAGACCAATACACATAATCATCCAGATGCGATCTTGCTATTCAGCCAACTTTCTTCTCAGAGATAAAAGCGACAGACACGGATCACTCAGCCTCACAAAACTATGCAACCAATAATGTGAGTGATTCCTCCATAGATGGACGTTCACAACGATCCTAGTGAGCAAACGTGGAATCACTGTTTGCGCCCTAAAAACTACCTAATCTGCAAGTTGTCATCTTATAGGGTTTTTTTGACGTTTTATAGGTTTTTTACATGATACCCGAGCGGGTGTTACAAAAAATTATAAAACATCATTTTCAATGTTTTCGGAGTTGCTGATTATTTTTTTACGTAGTACAAAATGTATGAGTGCTATTTGATTAGAATTATTTATTTCAATTTTGATGGTGTTTTATATTTATTTTAGAATTATCTTCCACCTACGGTGATAAAATCAACACACCCTGAGTTATTGTTAAATTTTGTAACAGCGAGCGGTCAGAAAATGTAACAAATACCATTACGCAATACAAATTATGGCTGCCTGCTTGTACGCACCATTTCGAAACAGGACGACACTCCCCAATGAGCACTATATGAGATGATTACAGACCAAAATCGCTCATCTATGATCATGGAGGTGGAAGCCTTGCCTTGGAATGTACAGATGCGGTGTTGTCAAACGAACCAATGCAGAATTTGTGGCGATCCCGATCTTCCATTTCGACTTAAAATGGAGCGCCGTTAGGACCGATTCGGAATCGATCCTAAACAGATTCAATACAATTCGCAATTCAAAAATGTATACGCTCAAAATACAACCATTATTTGGGCGTAGAGAACTGGTGTAACATATTGGCAACGCGGCAGATTGCCGCGTCAGCTTTGCTAGGCAGCGCAGTGATAAGCTTTGCTATCCAGCCGGCTTCTATATCTTTTTAACATGTGTCTATACACCCTTCTCTCTAGTATACATTGAACTCAAGCCGTCAGACAAATTTTTGTTCTCAGTGTATGTGGTTTTATTCGGCGGCCAGTGTCTTAAAAATTTGTCATCCAAGTAGAAAATAACTTACCTATGACTAATCGTTTCATAATAACATTCTCCTCCCCAAATTTATATGAGAACATTCCTTGATATTCCCTTTCTTTTTTCCTTATGCAAGGTCCAATGCCGTTAGCAACAATCTCGTCTTCTGGATTGAACACTGAACTGTCATAGTCCACACCAGTGTCTTTCAATTTCCTTGTCAGATTCTTGATTTGTCTCTTCAGCTTTCTCACTGTTTCGTTCAGAGTGTCGAGTCTTTCAGTTAGCTGAAGATTCTCTGTCGTTAACCTGAAAATTCGAAAGTTATTAGTAAGCTGAATAATCGGGAGTAAATACTCGTGCCTCAAGTTAAAAACTCAATTAAAGAAATAAACGCTTAAGATAGGTGGTGGGTGCTAATTCTCATATAAAATACAAAAATTAGAAAAGAGGTGACCTAGTGATAACGAAATATTGGAAGAATTATCAAAATAAGACGGGACAAGCTACCATCTATCACCAGAAATTGAGAGTTTACAGCAACTATTGGTTAGAACTGCAAAGATGTTCGCGTTTGATAAACTAGTCACCACTATGATCGCTAAAGGCTGACGATTCTGACGGTATTGTAGATGTGCTCTACTAGCCAATGAAGAAACTAAACATTCTGCTTTCGTCCGCCCGACCACAGACAGCCAACTATGTTTTGTGCTTTTTGCTGGCGTCTTGCCTTTACTGCTTCCTTGATAGTTTCACGTGCATGCATGTCTATTATGATTACAATTACAGAATATCACTGGAGGTGTTATTTACTAAAAATAGTTATCTTTTCAGTTTGTCAAATATTTCATAGTACAGGGTCCGTCAGAAAGAACGCATGTTTTTCGAATAGGTACTACATCGAGTGAGCTGGTCCCGTGTCGGTGGGGAAGGGCGTGTTGGATAGTGGGACAAGTGCCGTTTCAGTTGGCAAGATGATTTGGAACGTTGAGCATCGTGTGTCACTGTACGTCGGTACTTTCAAAATGGCGAGTCTGTCGTTCGAACGCAACCGTACTGTTAGAACCGCCATAAAAGTAGACAGAGTGAGCGTTGACACTCTGCATAGCCCGAACCGTTCCGTCCGTTTGCGTGCCAGTTCTCTAGGGATCCACGCGTCCTCTGTACGTCGCATCTTGAAGAAGGATTTAGTGTTTCATCCTTACAAAATTAAAGTTTGTTAACAACTGTTGCCATGGGATTATGCACAACGTGTTAGTTTTGCACAGGTCATGATTGAACAGTTGGATAACAATGACATGTCGTTGTTTATGAGTGATGAAGAACATTTTCATTTACGTGGATATGTCAATAAACAAAATTGTCGATATTGGTCTCCATTGAACCCCCAACAGTTGCATGAGCACCACCTGCATACCCCGAAAGTTACAGTTTGGTGTGCAGTAGGCCCAACGATGATTATTAGCCCTGTTTTGAGGATGATGGAGAAACAACTACTGTGAATTCAGAGCGTTACATCCACATGCTGAACAACTTTTTTTTCGGAACTTCGACGTCGACGTGTCCGTCTCAGAACAGTGTGGTTCCAACAAGACGGGGCAACATCTCACACAGATCGCACGATGGAACTTCTTCGGCAAAAATTCCCAGGACGTCTCATTTCACGTCATGGCGATATTCCATGGCCCCCTCGCTCCCCGGACCTGTCAACTTGTGATTTTTTTATGGGGCTACCTGAAATCAAAAGTCTACCAAAGCAAGCCTCGGACCCTTGTCGATTTGAAGGAGGAAATAAGAAGATAAGTAACCCAAATTCCTGCACGAATGCTGGCCGACTCAATGGGCTCATTTCGGGAGAGGCTTGATTCTTGCATTTCGGCTCAAGGGCGCCATATGGCCGACATAGTTTTTAGAACGGAAATTTTGTTTTACTCAAAAAAAAATGGCATGTATTTCTGAGTATTTTGATATAATAAAATATTTTCTCCAATTTTTATTTTGACTGTACTACTCATTTGAAAAACATGCGTTCTTTCTGACGAACCCTGTACATTACCTTAGCATAAAAGCAGTAAATCAATTTATAAAATTAAGGAAGCAGCACTATCCTGCTTTTATTCTCTGTAAGATACAAGTACTGCATTTTCACCCTTTATTACCTATTATACCTTATATATATACAGGGTTATCCAAATTAAGTGTCCACCATTAGTAACTTTGTTATTAGTGAAAATACAAAGTTGTTTGAATTAGCAAACTAGTAGCATTTTTAACGCTGGTAAAAATGAGAAATAAAAAAAACAATTGAGAGTCGTTATTTTGATTTTTTTCAGTAAAATAACATTTTTTTAAATGGAAACCCCTGTATATTATATTTTTTTCTGTTAAAGCATCAAATTTTAAACAAAAAAGTTCATAATGACTTTTCCGCTAAAGTCAAAAATAAAGTCAAAATAACGATAAATATTTTTAATTATTTGCAGTATTATAATATTAAGACGGCTATGAAAACAACATGGCGTTCGCGATTTGACAGCATTAAGATAAGCGACAAATTGTTAAACTGGACATACTCGCAACTAGAAGGCTTTGGAAAACAATGATAAAATCAAATAATGTCAAACATTAGTGTAAATACTTGTTTATAAGCTTTATTGTGTCATTAATTTAAAGAAAAATGTTCTCCCATGAAGAAAAGTGTGATATGTTAGAATGCTATTTAGTGTGCAGAAAATCCTCCTTGAGAGCAAGACAGTGAATTATATCCCGCTCGCATTCAACCATATGAACGATATTTTCTGAGACTTTATCGAAAATTTAGGGGCAACGAAAATGTTTTTGCTAAAACAAGGGCAAAAAAAGAATTCATAATAAGCGAGGCCACGGAAATTGCAGTTATTGGATATTTTGAAGCTTATCGTGAGAATTCAATAGCAGATATTCTCAAGGACTCTAATTTCAGTTATGGTACTGTTCAAAGGATTTTAAAAAAATACAAATTTATTCCGTATAAGTACCGACCAGTTCAAACGCTTTTGGCAGGGGATCCAGAGAGAAGACTTGTTTTTTGCCATTGGTATCTTAGCTTCTGTCGCCAAAATGTATATAACTTTCGTTACCTTTTATGGACAGATGAATCAAATTTTTCAAATTCTGGAATGTTTAATAGAAAAAAACACCATTATTGGTCAAGAGAAAATCTTTTGTTAGTACATCCAAGAGGCCCACAAATCCGTTTCAGTTTCAACGTTTGGTGCGGTATAATTGGTTCAAAAATTGTTGGCCCGTTCTTTTATGAGGGAACCCTAACTGGTGAAAGATATGTGGAATTTATGACAGAAATTCTGACTAATTTCTTAGACGAATTGGATCTTATAAGTAGACATCATCTGCATTTTCAGCAAGATGGCGCACCTGCCCACAACTCCAGAGGTACTTATCATTTTCTAAGTACTACTTTTAATGATCAGTGGATAGGAACAAATGGCCCAATACAGTGGCCTCCCAGATCACCAGATCTAAACCCACTTGATTACTTCTTGTGGGGTTACTTAAAGAACCAAATTTACAAGCGAAGGTACGATAACCTTGACGCGTTAAAGACTGCAGTTAGGGAAAAGATAACCCAGATAGATGGTAGGACCATACTTAAGACAGTTCGAGCAGTTGAAAAACGTGCCCAAAAATGTATTGAAGAACAAGGTGGTGTTTTCGAGCATCTTCTTTAAAAAAAATTGTTATTGTATTTTGTAAGATTATAAGTTGATGTTGAAAATAAAGTTTGTCGATACAATTTAATTGTTTCAGATTGGAGGCCATAACTTCAACAATTTGTAACCTAGGAGAAAAGTTATTGTGAGCTTTTTTGTTTAAAATTTGATGCTTTAACAGAAAAAAATATAATATACAGGGGTTTCCATTTAAAAAAATGTTATTTTACTGAAAAAAATCAAAATAACGACTCTCAATTGTTTTTTTTTATTTCTCATTTTTACCAGCGTTAAAAATGCTACTAGTTTGCTAATTCAAACAACTTTGTATTTTCACTAATAACAAAGTTACTAATGGTGGACACTTAATTTGGATAACCCTGTATATATATATATATATATATAAACAATAAAACATAAAAGAATATATTGCTTCTGTAGACATTAAAAAATAGAAAAAGGGTGAATTACGAGGAGGACAAATGCAGTTTACAAAGTATTATTATTATTATTAGATATTACCTGTTATAATGTTTACTTATTTAGTTTCTTATGTGATAATTTCATTATTTTTGAATTATAAATAATTAATTTTGCCACGAACGAGTCAATTTTAAAAATATTCTTCGTCTAACTTAACATAAGTTTCTATTTGACTTATATAAATATTTTTATTGAATATAATTGTTAAATCTAATTGTATAAGTATTACGCGAGTTGTCTCAAAAATAAGCTTTCCACATTTTTATCAGGCACAAGGAATTTTTTATTTGAAAAAATAATTTACCATTGGAAACGTTGATTTTTTAGCTATTTTTCTACGTATTCGCCATTTTTTCTACGCATTTTTTTAGACGTGGAATCCACTTTTCACTCCCGCCTCAAGGAAGTCCGCCGCTAGCCCGCTTAGACGCTTGGTAACCGCTCCTTGCAACTCGTCGTCCATCTCGAACCGTTGACCGCCTAGGTGCCCCGCCATGTCAGGGCTATAAGGACAATGGCTTCCCAGCCAAATCGCTCAAATGTCGTTCGTTTGTTGTGAGACATGAGGATGCCCATTTCATGGTGCAGTCTTACGCTTTGCAGAGTTTTCCTCTACGACGATTTTGGAGTGCCCGTCTCAGCTTTTTCAGTAGCCTCAGGAATTTCAACCGCCTGTTCCCGGATTGTGAGTCGCCGATCTTCGAGCAAGCTATGCTCAATCTTCGTCTGAATTTCCTCAGAGATCGACTGCTTCCCGCTTCATTGTTCATCGTGGTTGTCAATGCGGTCGTCAAAGAACTCTTTTCACCATTTGAGAACATCTTGAATGCTTATCCGCGTTTTCCATATACTTCAGTCAACTGGCGATGAAATTCTATGAGTGACGTTTTTGCGTGCAAAAATCGGATGGCAGCACGAATTTCGCACCTGGCGGTGACGACGCTGAAGAGCTCCATTGCGCATGGCTGTCAGGTCGGCACGGAGCATCGCGAATAGGCGCTTCTTGTTGGGATCGATGGTGGGGGAACCGGCAAAACATGACGGTGTTGCCAGATTTCGCCTAGCATCACGCGCGGCAAACTTACAGCGTTGGGAACCCCATTTTTGAAACAACACTCGTAAATCTAATTCTCAAATGTGAAAAGATTTACCTCTGTGCTATTTATCTCAATTCCAATATGAATAAATTCAATCAAAATAAAGTTCTTTTCATACGATAAATATATTATGAAAAATGCAGTAAATTCGTTTTTGAATAGTATAAAAACTGTAAATTATATGTGACTTCTTTTTGATTTATGACAATTACAGACGGAACGTCATTCATTTAAATATTGCAAAATTCATTCACTATTGTTCTGTTAAGATTTTTGAACTCAATTTTTTCAGACTTCACACTTTACTACCTTTCCCCTATGTACGACAGATTTGTCTTTGGTTAGCTGACTGTGGTCGGGCCGACGAAAGCAATATGTTCAAAAGGAAGAATTGGTGTTAAAACAACTACTAACCTAGTAATTTCCAAATGCATATAAGCCTCATTCTGAGCTTGTGGAGTGTTTGTCAGATTCGCAGAAAGAATTCTCTGCTGTCTCTCATTATCTTCGCGAAGTTTCTCAATTTCTAACTTGTACTCTTTCTCGTGAGCTTTGTATTTTGCTTTTTCGTCTTGAAGTTCCAACTCTAGTTGTTTGTTGATGGTTTTTTGAGTTTCGTAAGCTTGAGCCAGTTCTCCATCTTCATTTATGTATTCACCTATAATGGTAGAGCCAGGACTTCGATGATTGAGGGTTCAAACAAAAAAATAATCGTGCAAAATCAAAATGAAAAACACATGCTAAGTATTTCTGAGTGGTGAATGTTTTTCTCAATTTTGTAAGTGAGATATTTACTTAAGACGTCCTATTCACAGTTCACAATACGACATTCCAGAGTTTAAAATAGTGCTAGTTTAGTTGTCAGTAATTCTCAGTACTTTAAAAAAACTTATGATAAAAAATTCTAATTTTTTTCAAATGCCAACGGGCGAGGAGAGTACTGTAATCTTGAAAAAGTTGTATTTGTGATATGTATGTCTTTTGCATTTTGTATGATAGGTACATAACGAAAAGTCAAGTCATTTCCTTCGTTCTGTGTTTTTCTGACTCGAATATCGATAAAATTTTTACAAAAAGTTGTTGCTAAGAGCGAAAAAATGGCATCAAGTAGATTGACTTTGCACTTCCTACGCAACGCTGACATCAGTTCATAAAGAATTGTGTTCGGAATAAGTTAGCCTGTTTGAGCTACGAATATTTATAACAAAGAAATTAAGCAAATCAAGTCAGGTAAAAACGCCCATACAATTATTCAATCAAGTTTTGAGGGCAAATGTATGGGGAAATCTATAATGTGTGAAATGTGTCTAATATGTGCGTAGAATTACCGGGGTTGGAAGCGGATAAATATACTAATGCTATAAAATTGAGATACTATCCCCCACCCCCTAGAACCTCCAATTTTACCCCCAGAAACTGACGACGAGCTCCTGAAACGAAGTCTGAACAATTTTAATTACCCTCGTTTTTTGCCCCCAGTTTCGCAGCCACTGGACCGATTGCACAGCGTACGTGATATAGGAAACACAACGTCCATGGCAAGGAATTAACTTCCTAAGCGGGTTCGTGGCTCGAAGCGCCGACCAGCGAGCTACGGAGGCTCCCTAAATCCGAGCGGTACTTTCCAAGTTATAGACGGGCCAGGCGTACAGAAATGGCGTAGGAAGTGAAATAAAAATATCAGAACCTGTTCACACTTCGTATTTGTGTGTTTTCTAAAGTTTCTGGTACTTTTTCAAGCGGAGTTAAAACCTTTATGGTCAATATTTTTTAAAAATTCCAAGCTCTCATACTGTTTTAGTTGTTGGCTATGTAAAGTGTATGTGTTATGATCACGAGCTTACCTGTTCTGGATCTTGAACTGAACAGTGTCTTCATATTTTTGGTCTGGTTAGCCAAGACTCCCTTGAGTTGAATGATTTCTTCTGTTTTTCTATCTAGTTCTTGTCTCATTTCAACTAGCTGTTCATGTAGTTTTGAAAGACCTGTACCTGTATATTATAAAATGTTATGTTAGAAGATCAAAACAGTTATTTTTATTATCATTGTAGATGTTGGTACTTTATTTCTATGAATCTAAATTTACTTTACTATCATCATAATTTGTATGAAATATGTTTAACAGCGGCAACGTCGCGGCCAGACAAGATTCATCATCGCAAGATGGAAAAAAAGACGTTGTTCGGGAAATGTCAGGTTTGGCAACAAAATAAAATAAACACGTTTTGTTTACGAAATCTCCGGGCGTCCTTTCAATCAACAGCGAGCGAAAGAACCCAACCATTTTTTGGCCCCACGAGCCGAATCTCGAGACAGAATCCAGCAAGAACCACCAGAAACGGATTCCTATCATCCCGTCACGAGAAACCTACAGGAAAATCACGCCATCGAACCACGAAAATAACCTCACTTGAGCCTCAAACAACCACGAAGTCTGAAGAAAGGTCAGTTTGTGCCTTTTTTCCTCGAATAACCACATGTATGTCCTCGAATTTTTTAATTCCAGCAACATGTGTAGCATATTTTTTATTTTTTACGTTTTTCTGAAGCTTTACACAGATCAAGTCATATATCTAGTATTTCTCGATTTTCTCTTTAAAATTAAGCTTGGCTCAAAATGAGTTTAGTAGAATTTGACCCGCAGATTGATATTAGGAGGATAAAGTATAGCAGGGCTCAAATAAAAGGAGAACTCACTTGCTTTCAAAAGTTCTTTAATAAAACCCATTTAGAACAGTCTTTGAATATTTTGCAAGTTAGATGTGAGGTCATAAAACCTCTGCTAGAAAAATTCAAAGCGGATCAAACCGAATATGAAGATTTGCTGTTGAATAATTGTCCTGACGATTATAATGAAAATGAGATGTTTGCCGAAAGATGACGGTATTTTCGGGCTTTGGCCACGGCACGGTCATTTTTAGACATCCAACATTCAAATGTGCAGCGATTTGAATCTTCGGCGGCAGCGCATCGGGCGGCGCAGTCAACATTAAGCGATCACGGGGTAGCCACGACGGTGGTGGATGTACGACTCAGCCGGCAAATATTTTGACGTATTCGCCCGCGCGGACTTTATTTCTATGAATCTAGATTTACTTCATTGTAATCATGATTTTTATGAAATACGTTTAAGATCGGCAACGCCGCGGCCAGACAAGGTTCGTCATAGTAATATGGAAGAAAAAACAAAAAAGACGTTGCTGCCGAAATGTCACGTTTGTCAACAAAATAAACACGTTCTGTTCACGAAATCTCGGGGTGTCCTTTCAATCAACAGCGAGCGAAAACACCCAACCAGTAGAATTACACTTTTTGACGTAAGCTACTCCTGCATTAAAGCGACGATGTACGAGTATTTGCCGGAAGCGAAGTGCATATGGTGGGCACAACAGGATCAATCGCTACGCACGCAGTGAACAAACGGACAATAATGGAAATATCGTCGGCCTGAAAGTGAAATATAGGAGTAGTCTCTATGGTGAAATCCGAGTTATGTGGGGTCAGATGAGGCCTGATAAAGGTGCAAATATTCCGCTATGATGATTTATCAGATTAACAGAGAACTGTCCTTTTTAAAATTCGAATTGTTTCTAAACTCGAATTGACTAAATGTCTGTCATTTTTTTTATTCTGTCTAACTTGCGCTAGGTGGCGCTATTATCGTGCGCTCAACGTATTCAGTTATTCAATTCTTGCTCACTAATCTTTCGTATTCCTTAATTTTTGGAGAAACCATGGATCCATATTGTGCCCATAATATATAAAATAACAACAGGAATCTACTTGCGCAGATACATAAAGAGCAGTGGGTAGTTTAGATAATACTAGATCAGGGTATGTCAACAGGAGATTAGTACACGAGACTGTGTTCAACGTAACGAGGTAGTCAAAACAATACTGAGTATACTATAAGAGTATTTGTGTACATAGGAGGTTCAATTTACACGTAGGGTTGGGAAAGTCCGGGAAACTAAGTACGTTTTCCTAATAAGAACGTATAGATTCATGTTTTTTACACCGAAGCATGCGCGTCGGGGCACTGCAGCTGCTATAAGGAGCTTTTGCCCTGAGTTGTAGTAATGATTTATAATCAAAAATTGTTATTATTGATATCATTTTTTATTGAAAAATACAATTATCTAAGGCAGGTAAATTAAAAATCAACTTTTGTCAATGTTTTGTCAATAAATAATAAAAAATCGTAATATATTTATAAACCGAGAGTTATTTCAACCGTAAAACACCTAAATATAATCAATAATAGAACTTTAAAATGTTCTAAATTATGTAAACCAAAAACACCAACATTTCATAATTAGCGACCCAGGACATAAATTTTCAAATCGCTTAATAAATGTATGGGCTTTTGACTTTTAACTTTGAAACAGCTGTTTCTCTCAAAGGCGACTTATTTCCACAACTTTCTAAAAATACAATTTTGAACCATTATTACAGAAGCATGTGTCGGAAATATTTCGTTAATGGGGATCCAACTGGTTATTACGCTGATAAAATTTCGTTGGCCGTAGGGCGGGTCTCCCACTACTACTTGGTGTAAAGTCCCACTTTACGCCATTTTAAATATGTTGATGGTTTTTCGAAAAAGAAAGGAAAGGTCACAGAGATTTGGGGTAGCTGTGCTGAACATGAGTAACCATAATATCAATTTATAATCTTGAATAAGTTGAAACTGGACGGACATACTAAAAAGTATGTAACAATAAATAAGAAATCATTTTTTCACTCATAACGCGCCTTCCACTATAACATCTCAACCGAACTGACTAGAACCACCTTGCCACGAGAGCGTAAACACCTCCAACAGGTACGCATCATTCTGTCGCAAAGCCTTTTCTCCTAATCTCTCCCGGACGTCCCCTAAATTTAAAAAGGAGCATACATGTATGCGTGGGGAGAACCAAATCAATCTATTGACATCACTTTTATATGAGCTTACCCTCATTAATACTGTTCTGCAACTCGATCAGCTGCGACCTCAACTGCGCATTAACCAACTCCAGCTCGGATATCCTTGCTGCCGCCTCAGCTTCCTCCACTCTGGGCGAGCTGTCAAGTTCGTCCAATCGCCGTTGCATTCTCTCCCTCTCTCGCTCTACTTCAGCCAATCGGTGTTGGAGTTTCAACACGAGGCCGACGTCAGCAGGTGGTATCGACTCGCTGGGGGCGACCGTTTCCACATCGGAGGCGGTCAGACTAGCGCTAGGCGGAGAGTGAGTCTCGCTGGCCGAGGCGCCTGGAATAATCAAGTACTTGATTCAAACACAATCTTTTAATTTAGAAAAGAAACAAAGTTAGGAAAGATAGATCAGAAACCTATTGAAATGCTTGAGCACTGATTGGACAAGTGTATTGATATTAGCAGGGATTATGTACAAAATGACGACATATAGATTATATGTATCGTTATTATACAGGGTGTGCCATTATAATATCCGCACCTAAATATTTAGAAAACTACGCAACCTAAAAAAAGTTTCAAACAAAAGTTGCAGGGTTTTGAGGGGGCAGAATGATGATGACTCTACCTTCAATGTCACTTCAAGGTATACTTACTGAATATTTTAAAATGATATCACCTTTCTTATACCGGAACTGGGAAGAGGGGGACATTTTTCATCTGAATATGACCGTGACCTTGACCAGGATTAAGACCTTCAAGGCAATTTTAAATCACAACTGTGATGTCAAATGTTTTTGCTAGAGCAAATTGTTTTCAATGTCTTGGTCTGAAATAGCCTAGAAGGTTATGATAGTGGTCAAGGTCAAGGTCGTATTCCCATGTCAAATTTTCTCCTCTTTCTAATTCCGTTGTAGAAAAGAGAAGTCTCATTACTTTAAAAATATTCACTTTACCTGAAAGTGGTCATGATCAGGGTAACGTCACCATCCCCGATAGCACGAAATATTTATTAAATATTTATTCAATAATATTTTGATCTTGCTTAAATATTTGTTTTCTTAAACAAATATTTAATAAATATTTGGAATATAATACTTTTATTAAATATTTATTCAATATCTTTTGAATATTTTAAATACAATATTTCTTTTAAACTATGCCTTAAATACTTAATACCTGTACCTCCAAGTGGTACATTATTTGAGTGTTTTTTGTGGAAAAGGGAAAAGGGTGTTTTTGATAATTACATAGCTTAATTTATCTGACTAGTAAACATTATTGTGCCAGTTGGGTATAAAGGTATTAACAAGACCATAAATAACTAGCCTTGAAGTGTAACAGTTATTTGGGATTGGTGCTTTTTTTAAATATCTCAATTATTATTATTTTTGTCGTAGTAGGGGGAAATCAGCTGTAACTATTTTAAAATTTTTAATTTCAACAGCAACGTTCCAAAATTTTAACAGTCTAAAATACTATATGTTTTCCCTTGAATTATAATATAAAATCACAAAATAGTTATGACTAAATTAGCTCCCTTACTACTGCAAAAAAGTCACATTTCAACAAAATCAATAAGTGGTCTATTTTTAAAAACCTTTTCTTTGAAAGTTAGTCAAAGGATTATGTTGTGCCCATGGACATTTTTCACCAAGATATCTAAAATAACATACCAAATTTTCTTAAAAATTAACCAAATCTCGAACTATTATAGGAAGAAAATGTAGGGTCCTTTTAGGTGCATTATAGAGCTGCTTTTCAGTGTCCCAGTTGAGTTACTCGGAGTAACTCGGCAGTGCTCAGCACCAATATTGTTCCACCGCATTTTATATTCTCATAAATACACTGGAAAGTAGCTTATGTATTCAATAATACATACTGCATAATTAGTAAGTTTTTTTTCTTCAGATGAGTGAATTTGCAAGATGCGGAAGAGGCTTAGAATGTTTTTTTAATAATACTTCTCTAGCAAATTAAATCATTACATCTAGAATCAATTTTCTTTATAAACCCAATTTTATAAAAGCATTCCTGTAGATTTTGCTGAAATAACCAATGAAGAATGTTCTATATACACTGAACATATGTATCACATTAATGCTTGAAAATCCATACATATTTACGTAAAATATTAGATATTTCATCAAAATATAAAATTGATATTTGGAAATCTTTCCGCATATATTTTCTAAATATTTGGAAAAAATATCGCAATATATGAATTATATATACTACAAATATCTATAATGAATATTTTATTAATATATAAGAAATATATTTATTGGATATTAACAAATCTACCGCTACAAATATTTAACAAACATTTTTTTAAATATTTAATAAATATTCATTGCTATCATCATCATTTTACCCCCTTGAAAATCTTCATCTTTTATTTAAAAACTTTTTTCTAGGGTGCCTAGTTTTAGAAATATTGGGATGTGGAAATGAAAATGGGACAATAATAATATGAAACCTGAAAAAACGATTTTTTCCATATAGAGCTGGTTTTGCCATGACTATGTGCTGAAACTATTTTTTTTTTACAAAAGAATTGTTGAATACATAAGACAGAGAAAATGTATTTTACTATAATTTGTTAGAACGCTCCTTCTACCGTATGAGTGTGAACGGTCATATTGGAAATAAATAATTGTTTTTGGGTATAATTTTTTTGCATGCCGACGCGAACGGAAATGATAAGCGAAAATATAGAGTAACCCGTACAATGAATTATCAAGTTATTGGATTATTTATTTATTTTTGGGTAGAGAAAATAAAACAGAAAAGCAAACTCTATATCTTCCTCAATATACTCACTCTCGACCCTCCATGTAATATTATCCAACCTCTCCCTGGCACCACTGCTAGCCGTAGACCTGGTTGATCCATATCCTTGATCTTCGCCCAAGTACACCGGTTTTCCATTCACACCATTTACCATCACCTGCTGCTTCAAATCTTCGTATTTCTGCTCCAGCTGATTATACTCCTGAAGCAATCTTTGGTATGACTCGCGGGAATCGTCGGCCTCTTGTAGCATCATCAGTTTTTGTTCTTTAATGTGGATCTTCAATTTTTCTTCAGCACCCTTCAAAACAAAATAAAAAATCAATATCCTACAGCAGTCATAGTGTCATTTGGCTGTTAAAGTGAACAGAAGTATAGTTCACGACAAACTTATAGTATCTGTTTACATCAAGGACGAGCCCAGCTCAAAACGGAAGGGGGATCACCTTGACAAAAATTTCTACAAATCATATCCACTTAACTATGCTTGATATTGCATTTCATTGTTTTATCCATTTTTATAGGGTCTTCCACAAACGTTCGTCAGGCAATCCTTGGCCCTCTGAGATATAAAAATATTTATAGTTTTTGTTAATCAGTCCTGTTGCGATAGAGTAACCGTCAGCAAAAACTAATTTAATCATTGTTCCTTCTAAAACTTGGAAAGCATCATTGGATTTTGTAGAAATTTTGAAAGGCCTGTATAATGGTACCAGTATTATAACCAAAAAATCTATAACTCGTCCAAAGTTGACTTTATCTTATCAACCTTTATTTATCGAAATATTTTAAGACGTAGTTAAGAGTTTATTTAAGGATTCAAATATTGTAAAATACGGCAAATTTTAACCATCCAGTCACTCATACAAGAGACGTTGAAAACTCGGCAAACTGCTGATCTATAAACGTAGCAAAACTTATTTGCTCTGTCTGACTAGCCAAATGTGAACCCTGTTGTAAAAGAAATTGTACAGGATTCATATATTCTTTAGAGTGATTGCTGAGTTCCCTCATTTCCAAATAAAAGGTATCTTCTTTATCAAACTTTAAAGTTATAAGTCTATTGGGAAACTGAGAAACGCATGAGAACTAATGGGTATCTCCAGTTCTTTACAACGGTTAATTGGGTATTGTAAAAAATCGTTCATTTTTTCCGAAACGTGCATTAGAGTATATATGAAATAGTGGCTAAAAGTTAAAGCCTTAGAAGTGATTAACATGGAAAAAATCTTTAAAATGCTCGCGCTGTCCGGCAATGTAGCTGCTTCCACAAATTATAGTGCGTTTGTAGTTACTGGAGAATATCTCCATTGCTATAAAACATAATCAAAAATGTTATTGACAAAAATTGTGGACTAAACGCTTCCCAACTGGAATATAACGGTCCCTACAGGGTGATTCGTACAGACAAGACAACATACACGATTTTTTAAATGGAGCCCTGCACCACTTTTAGTATGTTCAAATATGCCACTACAAAGGAAGTTTTAATATATCCTGGAATAAAGCATATTATACTAATTAAAGAAATACTTTTTTGTCAATAGTTATTCGTTATTTTTATACAATTACTTGAAATTTCATCATATATCCAAAGATAGTTTTATAGAATATGTAGGACATGCAAGTAGTTTGTTCTAGAATGATCTGAAAAACAAATTTGTCGTATTTTCACTATTGTAATCTTCGAAATGGTACGGGTCGGTTGAATAGTGGCAAAGTTGCATATTTATATCTTTCAGACAAAGCATCTGAAAACTACTGACGCTTGGAGTATCTCCAGAGATACACGGAAAAGGAATCGAATTTTCCCATAGCATTTAGTTTCAAATTCTTTCCGAATTTATTTTCAAAATACATTGCACATTAACATTTCCACCTTTTGATCTCTGCAAAGTGGCATAAATAGAACATTAACATGATTTTTTTGTCTCTCATCCACCGTCTCACTTTTGTTTTTTCATGTATGCCATTCCTGCATAGGCGAATAAGTTTTAATTATGATTTCAAATATTATAGCATATCATACATTATGTTAAAATTTTCCTGAGTAAGCCTTGAAACTATCATAATACACGTATAGGCATTTGTTTTATAGAATATCAAAAATAACATGTTACGCATTGATATAAAATGTCAAGTGCCTCATATAGTTGGTTCAAACTCATCGGGTGAAGAACAACATAATGTAACTCATTTATATTATTTAAGGGTAATAATGAAGACATCGAAAACGGTATGATTTCAAAAAACAGAGCTGAAACATTAGATCGAAATTCTAATTATGCTATCGAGTAGAAGAGAAAAGGTGGTAATGTTATTGTGTAATTTGTTTGAAATTTGCCCCCATAAAGTACTTCGTGTCGTTTAGGCCAATGGCACAAGATCAGTATTTACTGTGATCCGTCAATATATTTATCACGAGATTTGATATTTATTAACCGTGTAGCCTGGCGGTCGGTAATTATTGATGCATAATGCTGTCGAAATCCACTGATGGTACGGACATTCTCTTTGCCGTTTCGAAATCCCAAAGGCGAGGTTCGAATTTGAAACACACAGTAAGGATCAAATTTGGCTGACGTCGTCATGTGAATGATAGAGAAGCGCGAGAATCGTGCAATACCTGTAGGTATTTTAGGAAGTGTGACGGCGAGCCGCAGTTGCGTCGGTGGCTTCGTCACTCGGGTTACCATGCAACGACATGCTCCTATTCTTTCTAACACACGTATTGCATGCTTCTCGTGCTTCTCTCGCGTATAGTGCTATTAGCAAAATTAAGTTTATATCTAACATAGATTTCAACTAATCCTAGTGCTTTATCATCTAATAGATATTAATTAATTCAGCTTGTCGAGAACCCTGTACATGGATAATTTGATTTTTGTCAAATGTTAAATTTTTACCGATCTAGGGTACGCCCTTGGTTTACATTGTTTTATCGACGGACGTTAATACGCCAAACGCCATAAAACCGAGAAGGCGGTTTCTCTGTACATTGTTAGGACGCAACGCTTGCTTCTGGAGGTGCTAGACGCGGGAAGAACGTGGGGGCTAGCGGCTTCGAGTCGGCTTAGTTATAGCACAGTTGAATTGTGTCTTTGTTGTTACGCCCCTATCGAAACAATGCGATTTATTTTAGATTCGCTATATTCAAAGTAATTCTAACTATTAGTGCTTTCTACGTTATTGCACATTGCTCAAATGTATTATTTTATACAGATGAACCCGCTTTCATCATTATTTAGACGGGTATGAAAGATGCAGAAAAAATGTAAACAGACATAACTTTGTCATCAACTATACACTAACAATTTCACCATCAGTTGCTATTAATTTTGTAGTGGTTGATATGGTGATAAATGGCAGTCGTGATATGGTATATCAAAAATACCTAACAGTTCAGCTAAGCGACAAAGCTTCCAAGTCCAAGGATCCTAAAGAAGGCTTCACCAGTCAAAACTAAATAGAGAAAGTCAACACGATTGTATTTGAAAATTTTAGTTTAGAACCACACGACGAGTTCAGTTGGCTGAAAAAATGACTTACCTTCTCGTTCATACGAACTATTTCGTTGATGTTTTCTAATTCGTTCCTCAATTTTGCCGTTTCTTGGGTCCACATTTCCCTCTCCTCTTTGTATTGCTCTAATTGGTGTATCAGGTCTATCTTTTCTTCTTTCTCTTGCACAATCTCCTCCTTTAGTTTATCTATGAACTTGTTCTTTTCTACCACCAAATTATTGAGATTTTTTATTTCTATTTCCATCGCTTTGAACGTTACCATTTTGTTTCTGCAACAATATAACTCGTCAGACTATTCAAAAATGGAATGATGCTCTTCATCAGTACGTTTTATATTGCATTGTCTAACTTCGTTATACAAGGGGTTACACAATGTGGCATGAAAAAATATTATGAACTCATGATAAAAATATCATATACGTACTTCAGCTCCAGTACTTCATTTTGGTAATTCTTGAGCTCCACATTGACTTTATTCATCTCATCTAACTTCTGCTGCAAACTGATAATCTTATTCTCCAGTCCCTTGTTGAGTTTCTTAACATGTTCAATAGACCGCGCTTCAACTCGCAATCTCTTGTATTGTTTTCTAGCGAGGTATCTTCGAACAGCTGCTTGACAGATGATGATTTTTCGGAGCTTCGCTTTGTATCTTTCACGTGCCAAGTAACCTCTGATATATCTCTGGATGACGATAGCCTAGAAAAATAAGTAAAGCATAATCAATGCTGAATAAAAAGCATTCACAATCTAGATAGTGTACAGGGTGACCAACTAAGAATGCGAGGTACTGTAGCTGGGAACATCTCCATCGTTTGAGGCTTGCGGCAAAAACACTAAAACGGCCAAGAGAAAAACCTGGAAAACATTTTTAAGTTTCTGAAATTGGTGTGAATTTCGCTACATTAATCAAAAAAATAAATACTTGATCTTTGAATTCGAGGCTATTCTGAACCTTTTTTGTTTGACAATTTTTGCTGTATCTCTAAAAATAAAGTAGTGGGGAGTATTCAAAGGTTTCCGTAAAAATCACCGTGTATCTTCGAAACGGCTCAGCCGATTTTAACAAACTTGGGATAGCAGAAAAGAGTTATCCTTGGGCTACAAATGTTACAATATTTGAAGTTTTGTTAGTAGTCGAAAGAGTTTCGTCCATGTAGAGACCCAGAAATGAGTGGCTTTCTACCTTTTTTATAGTAGTACTGTTTAGCGAGAGCGTCAGAGCATGTGCAGTTAAAAAATTATATCAAGTAGTAAACCACAAACTACAGAATCACAGTTTCCTGATATAAAGTTGCCGACGTTTTGGTGAACATTATTTCCTTCTTCAGGGCTTATTTCACTTTGAAACTGTGGTGGCGTGGAGAACCGAAGGAGGAAATATATTTTTCCTAAACGTTGGCAACTTTATAATAGGAAACTGTGTATCTTTAGACGCCAAATCCAATTAATTACAAGAAAATTATATAAAAAGTGTCATTAGAAGGATAATTTTCTATAATAAATCCTTAGCACCCAGTATTAAGAACCACAGAAGTGGGCTAATGGTAGCTAGTCAGCAAAGAAATATCTTAGCAGATAGACGCATACTACAGAAATGTTCAACCTGTGGTGTGGGACTAATCTGCATCAAACACAACAAAGGTCGACGCTGAATTCCAACAAATAATGGGTCGTTTTAGCTGCTCGCTCATTTGATGCTAACAATGCTATCATAATACATTTTGCCATATATCGGTATATAAGGTCTCAAGAGTTTCTTGGAAAGATCAGATCTTCCAGCATGGCAACCATAAATAGTTAGTATTTTACAAAAAGGGGCATCATTGTGCACTGGATCTATAATGTAAAAAAGGATGTCATAATAAAAAGATAAACGTGGCCACCAAAGGTTAAAAAGAAATGTCGGGAGAGGTTAACAAATGGCGCCCTGTTTGATCAGGGATAGGGACAAAGTATGGTTTCCGGCACCATAGCTAACCTCATGCAACTTCATGGAGTAAACCTATCCAGTCATACGGTGAGACTCATGCCATTGAGCTTGATAACACCTAAGCTTTGGATCAGCTGTGGCCTGCTGCTCTCTTATGCAAACTTCGACCCCATGGCCTCCCAGAGAAGCTTTGCAGATGGGTAGCTGACTTCCTCTCTGGCCACAAGATATCAGTCGTAATTGACGGGTCCTTTTCTTCATCCCACAATGTTAACGCGGGTGTTCCCAAGGGATCGGTTTTGGATTCTACGCTGTTTCTATTACATATCAACACCTCCAATCCTGTATGATCAATTCGATCCATCGCTTTGCTCATGGCAGAATCCAACATTCAAGAATACAGAGTGCCAAGCCGATATCTGCCGGCGAGGTGGAGAGAAGACTAGCAGCGATTTCCTTTCTGCTAAAAGATCTGGATACATTACTTTACCTTGACTAACAGGAAGCATCCTAGCTCTAGTAGATGGTCGAATTCTCCCAAATAGCCGTAAATTTCGGCTGGTCTCTAACGGAAAGTCACGAGATCTTTTTGCACCGATGGGCTGCCGGCGCCCTGGCTCTCTTTTACCTCTATATCAACGGGCTTTGCTCCTCAGAGATCTCATCCATTATGCATCCCATCCTAACAATGTCGAACTTCGTACATACACAACTGGCCGGTTCTACCGCTCCTTTGTCCTGGGGTGTCGAGATTGTGGGGCAATATGCTCGATGATGCTTTTTATAGTTCTACTAATCTTAGGTAGTTCAATAACCAGATTAATTATCTAAACTTCTTATAGCAGCCGTGATGCCCCAGTATTTAGGCTTGTGCCTACGCAGCTGCCTTGGTATAAAAAACTTCACTGATGCTGCAGCGCAGCACCCCTTCAACAAGTGTATTCTGTTAGCAGCTATCTTGTAGAACAGTAAAAAACATGAATTTGTTTCACCGGATCAACCTTCGTATATGATACGTTCTGAGTACATCACTTTGTAGGAAGTCTGTTTGGCAAACAGAAGTTTTGCAGTCCAATTTCTTGCGCTTGGTCGGGACACTTTTTTTTGAAATTCTTGATATCACGATTTTGAGAAGAAAGTTGAAGTGTATAGCTGTTGATCCCTACTTACTTTGGCATTGTATTTGATACGTAGAAACCGTATCCTTGCCAAATAACCTCTGGCATACTTTTGAATCCCCACGATACACCGATGTATGCTGTGAAATTTCTTCCTTTGAAGGAATCCTCGGACGTATCTTTGGATTGTAATAACTGCTCTCTGTTCTCGGATGCTCTGAGCCAATCTGAAAGAAAATAGGACAAAGTATAACTTCAAAACTGTCGTCTCATAAAATTATTTTCTATAATGTATCGAAACGTTTGTGGCTCTATGATTGTCAACTGAGGGACTGTTCTTAATTCAGGCAATCTAGTGCCACAGTTCTCTATATTTCCTTCTGATTTTCATTCGCACCACACTGACTGCTAATCTATAAAAATATGTTGCATGTTGAAGAAACAATAAATGCCAAATGAGTTTATTTTCAATGTTTACTTCTGTTGCAATTTTTTTAAAAAACATTATTTCTTAAAATATGTCCTGTACCTCGGGATGATCGTACAGTTATCAGTAAATGCTTATTCTAACTATATCTAAATCACTGTGGTTTCATAGTAATGAGGCAACATTATTTTATTTTGATTTGAAATATGTTTAAAAGAGTCTATACATGTATACTTTTAAAAATGTATAACGCAACAAATAAAAATTTGACAATAAGCTTATTTTCCCTGAATCCCTATAATTTCCCCCAATGTAATATTTCTTAGACTAACTAGGGACATGGTCCCATTGGTACGTTCGAGTATGTAAGAATTCAAGAAAAAATATAACGCTAAATTGAACAGTTTTAACATCTTGGTATAAAAGTAAATTTGAAGCAAAAAATTACCTTCTTGCCAAAAAGCCTCTTCCATATCTCTGAATCAACATGGCAGACTTCTTCATCTTCATATACCTTCTCCTGTATATGAAAGCTCTTATCGTTTTCTGTATCATTATACAGCATTGCCTCTGCTTATCAGTTCTCAATTTCTCCAGATAAGCTACTTGTCCAGCCCTGAAGAAAATTTTGTTCTTGCCGAACTGGTACATGTCGGGATCCTTAATGTACTGATTCAGGATTTTCTTGCAAGTGTCTTGAATGTTGTTTTCGTCAATATCTTTAAACTTGCATAGTAGGCGATATCTGGAATGATTTGTACATTTTAATTATTAGATTGACTCCAACGAAACGCTAAGTTCGGCACAAGACAAGAAAAAAATTTGACTACGACCGTGTTTTACAAAGGAATTAAATTACTCAAGTCAATCAGAAAAGCTTATAAATAATTGGCGACTATATGGGATAGGGACATATCTCACAAACGTTGAAGCCGAGATAATTTACATTAGTCTAAACGTTAAAATGTATGGTTATCTGTTAACTGTTGTTGTAAAGAAATATTGAATCATAATATGTATAGAAGAAAAAATGAATTTATACGACTTTTCACAGAAACTTTCCATTGATAATGCAGTAAGCGGTACTTCATTCATCATCAAATTCGGATTTATCTGTCAAAATGTCTACGTCCTCCGTAGTTACCAAGTTTTTATAAAACTTGTGGAAGGTTATAGTGACATACGAAAGCAGGCCCATCAAATTTTGTTTTTTTAGCACGCTTATGGGATTAGGTACTGTCTAGGAGGTAGTTAGAATAATCTTATTTGGCCAAACCTTACCCTTCAGAATGAAATTTATCACATCAAATGGCCTTTCTCATTTAAGTATTTTTTGTACATGACTTGTCCGGCTGTCTCAGTATATCTGAGCAATTTCTTTTTCACTCCAGCCCACTTTTTTCTATAAGAGTTTACTTTCCTTTGTTGAAATAAGCTTTTCAGGAGAGATGAAAATACAGAGAAATGACTCGAGTCCATTTCTGAGACTTTGAGTGGCTTTTTAGCGACACAGCCTGACAAGTCTTGCTGATCATTGCACTTGTGGAGAGTATGACTGTAAGTCCATAACTGTGATGTACTTCCTTTAATGGACCGCTAGATGCATTCTCCTTATCAGTACGGTTACCTGGATTTGCGGGTTCTGCTTCTTCATGATGCGCTACTAATTGAGCTTCTAAGATCTGATTATTAGTATCAGAAGCTGTGTTCATGTACATCTTCAACTTGTCACATGTTGCTTATGTGCCTTTTTTAGACATCTCTACTTTGTTAGTTAAAGAATAAAATACTGATACGTAAACTGGGGTATAAGTACTCGTAGAATTGGTTCTTAACAACGCTTAACTATTAGATATGATTTGTGGAAAGAGGTACAAGTGGATTTATTGCTATTCTCTCGAATCTTTATTATCGCTTCCATTTCATATTTTACACGAGTCGGGGAATAATGACAGTTATTTCTTTTTTCATAGGTAAAACAGGACAGCGATACGTGACAAGTATAGATATATCTCTTTACACGAACTTCTTAAAGATATAAATTGTAGTTACTTCACATAGGTAAACTTAACTCCCTTTCCACAAAAGTGCCAGGTAAAAGTTATGATTTAAGTCAATATAATTCTGCTTTCCAGAGGATTGAATCACTTATACCGATGTGAAACCAAAATAGTTATATCCCTTTTCACGTAACTGCACTGATTAGCTATGAAGTATTTGGGATATTAATCTCATTTTCTTCGTTATTTGACTTATACCCCTTTTCCCACAGTCGATAATTACTCCCCAATTTCCATCAATTTGACAACTTTGCAATCTGGAAACTTCTCCTCGACCCAGCCAACATCCGACAACGTTGCGATCATATTTGCTATGAACTAACCTCGCTAGCTGCTAGCTCACAACAGATTTAACTTGTATTTTCGTTGCGTTCGACGCGGGTATTGAATATATACTAAGTGACATATAAATCCGAACACCCAGTTTAAATGGTTTTATTTTAATAAAAGTTGGTGAATGTATTTATCTTACTGTAAATAACAAGGGAAAAAATTTTCAGCCTTATCAGTTGGACATTCCGGTTTTTATACTGCTTTTTTTTAATTCACTAACGCTCTAAAAATGAATATTTCAGCCGCAGTAAAGAATCAACGTTGGCGGATTTTGGTTCTTGACATCCTTTACGATCGGTTACGATGCCTAGAGTACGGAGACCTGTACGATTTCGTCAACTTAGTGAGTTTGATAGGGGCCGTATAGTGGGACTTCGGGAAGCTGGACTTTCTTTTCGGGCAATTGCAGTTAGAGTGCAAAGAAGTGTAGACACTGTAGTTAGGTGTTGTCAGGCATGGCTTCGAGAATGCCGTACGCAAAGAGCAAGGGGCACTGGACGCCGCCGTAGAACAACAGACCGTGAAGATCGCCGCCCAAGATTATTGGCCTTAAGGGACCGTTTCTCCACTACCAGGTCCATTGCAAATGAATGGTTTGCAGAACACGGAAGACCTATTGGCATGCGAAGTGTTTACCGACGAATGAGAAGTTTTGGCTTGTTTTCATACCGGCCACACTGGGTCCTCCCTTTAACTCGAGAACTCCGACGTAATCGCCTTGGGTGGTGCAGACAATGGTCACTCTGGGATCAGAAATGGAACAGTATTGTCTTTAGTGACGAGTCTCGATTTTGTTTAGGCATGCACGATGGTCGTGCCAGGGTTAGAAGGCGACGTGGTGAAAGGAGGAATCCACAGTTTTCTGTTGAAAGACATGTTCATCACACTGTTGGAGTTATGGTTTGGGGTGCCATAGCTTATGGTTCCAGGTCACCTTTAATCTTCATCAGAGGTAACATGAACGCGCAGCGTTGTATCCACGAAGTTTTAGAACCCCATCTTTTACCCTATCTTGACACCCTGGCAGATCCAACTTTCCAACAAGATAATGCCCGACCACATGTTGCAAGAGTCACAATAGACTTCTTTCAACATAATGATGTCACATTGTTACCATGCCCACCAAGATCTCCCGACTTATCCCCAATTGAGCACGTGTGGGGTATGATGAGTAGGCGATTGCTCAATTTGTAACGTCCTCCTCAGACTCTAGAAGCACTTCGAGAGGAGTTGGTGGTTGCCTGGAATGAGATACCACAGGAGGACATTGACCACCTGATCAGAAGCATGCCTAGGCGCGTTGGAGAATGCGTAGCACATCAGGGTACATCCACACATTATTAAAGGTCAAAGGGCTTTAAAGAAGTGCAATCATTTTGAATTTTTTATCATTTACTTATTATGCTTCATTAAGTACTTATACAAAATTTTATTAAAATAAAACCATTTAAACTGGGTGTTCGGATTTATATGTCACTTAGTATACATTCGTATGTGGTGGATGAAGAGAGCCAATCATATACTGTATTCGGCGTCCAAAACCCAGAAATGAATGCGGAAATCAACTTTGAGAAGTGCCTCAGTGTTTGGTTCTGTGACTGTATCATATATGGCGTTAGGAACTGTCATCCTATTTTGATCTCTCTAATGCCTGTTTTAATTGAGTATCTCCAGGTACTGATTAACATACCTATTCGATTTAAAGATACTCAAATATATACAATTAACCCCCATATAGACAAACCACTGATTTATAAAAAAATCACACAAGCTGCAAATGCAGCTTCAGTGATTACTTATGTGTTGCTGTCACAAATAAACATTATTATTATATTAGAGGGGCCAAAATGGGATTGAAGATACTAGTGTCATTTATGAGACAGTAACAGACCTAAACATTTTAAATTATCTTCTTTTTCAAGTAGATTTCTTAAGTTCTGTGTACTGCTACTGTCTTACAGATGGCGCTAGTCTATTTCATATCCTTTACGCAGGAATAAAGAATATGATTGGCTATTTACGGGAAAATCTTTGCGCAAAATATGCCTAATAGGTACGTATAACTACCGGGATTAGAAGCGTAAGAATGTTACAAACAATAGAGATGTATCCTCCCCCACCCTCTGAAACTCGCCAATCCCAACTTTTTACTCCTTAAAAAGCATCTGAAAATTTCAGGAATGTCCGAAACATAAAAAAAAACAAGTTTAACTGATTTTTATTTTTGTCGTCTTTAGTTCAGCCGCTACTGGATAGATTTTCAAAACCTACCAGCGGTCAAGGATTAACGGAAAGGCAGAGCGACAGAAATTAGTGACACGGTTTTTCGTGATGTACATGTCATTAGATAATACGTTGTCCATCTTAGCACCGTCTAATGAATGCATCTTGATACTTGGTGACCTCAACGTTAATTTCTTTATTGATAATAAAATTAATCAGTGCTTTCAATCTTACAGCCTGCACCAGTTATTGAATGAACCAACTCGAATAATTGATCATTCTTCAACGCTTTTAGATCCGGTTTTCTTGAACTGTGCACAAAGATGTTCCAAAGTGGGAACTTTCACTGTTAACTTTAGTGATCATCAGGCTCACATTTCGTGTAAAAACAATAAACCACCACCTAGACTAATTACATTTAGAGACTATCGCAATTTTGATCTAACCTCTTTTGACGATGACTTATTTAGCGTTAATTGGGCTGAAGTTATTTATATGGCTAATATCGATGAGAAAGTAAAATTTATTTCCGATAACATTGTAGGACTTTTTGACATACATGCACCACTAAAAACAGTGAGAGTGTCTAAGCCTCGTGCACCATGGCTCACAAACAATTTGAAAATGATAATGAAAGAACGAGATAAGGCTTTTCATAAATATAGACGGTCTCGAACGGATGCGAATCGAAATCATTACAATGAACTGAGAAATTTTACCAAAACTGCTACACGTGCAGAGAAATCAGGCTACCTTCAACATCTATCTCGACAAAGAAACTCTGCAGCTCTTTATAAAGCTCTTAAGTCATTTAGAATTCAGGATTCTAGTAATACTGACATTCCGGATAACTTAGCAGTTCCCAATGAAATAAATAACTATTTTACCAGTATATTCCAGAAAAGTGACGATGATTGCTCGGAAACTATCGAATTTTATAGCCATAACAAATTAAACCAAGATTTTCATTTTCAGTTCCGTCTTGTCGATATATCTACAGTATTGGATGCTATTCGCAGTATCAAGTCCAATTCTAGTGGTATTGATGGCATTACCATTGAGATGATTAAATTGTGTCTACCTGCTGTAGGAATATACATTTTGCACTTAATAAATTGTTGTTTAGAGCGCGGTGTTTTTCCAAGTGCTTGGAAGGAAGCATTAGTGCAACCTCTTCCAAAGATTCCCAATCCCCAGGTTCCTGGTGATCTCCGACCTATTAGCTTGCTGTCAGCTCTATCAAAAATTCTAGAAAAAATAGTTTATATGCAGTTGAATGAGTATTTACTCGAACGCAGCATTTTGCCATTAAATCAATCAGGCTTTAGAAAGGGTCACAGTACCACTACCGCTTTGGCACGGGTTTGTGACGATGTACTAACAGCGGCGGATAGGCAAGAAGCAACTGCATTAGTCTTATTGGATTTCAGCAATGCTTTTGACACCCTGAATCATAAGCTGTTAGTTTCTAAATGTAAATACATTGGGTGTGACGACTTGGTTCTGGAATGGATAGATTGCTATTTAAATGAACGACATCAATATGTCGTCATACAAAATAAACTTTCAGACAAAAGGCCGATTTGTTCTGGCGTGCCTCAGGGATCGATATTAGGTCCACTTTTATTCCTTATATACACCTTTGACATTTCTAACACCCTTCAACATTGTTCTAGTCAATCATATGCTGATGATATGCAGGTTTTTCATAATTTCTGTCCGAACAACTACCATTTAGCTAACAACCTTATCAATCAAGATCTGCAATACTTATGCACATATGCTGCAAAACATAATTTACGTCTAAACGCATCGAAATCGACAGCTATACTTTTTTGCTCAAAGAAAAAACGTACTTTCCTCAAATCAAAGTTAAATTTATCACTAAATAATAGTATCCTAATATTTTCCCATTCTGCAAAAAATTTAGGTTTGTACTTGGATGAAGATTTCAGATTTCAGGAGCATGTTGGCTATGTGTGTAAGTCTAGTTATTTTAGACTCAGGCTTCTATATGCAAGTAAAACTGTTTTAAATAGAAACATTAAGAAAATGTTATGCGAGTCACTCATACTCAGTAAAATCGCTTACTGCAACATAGTTTATTATCCCTGTCTGGATGAAATCACAAAATACAGACTGCAAAAAATTCAAAACTCATGTAGTCGTTACATAAACAATTTAAGAAGGTACGATCATGTTTCTCACTCAATACCTTCAATGAATTGGTTGAAAATTTCTGATCTTTTCAAATACAACTTTGTTACATTTGTCGTAAAAATATTAAAAACTTCTGTTTCCGTTTATCTTATGCAAAAGCTTGTTCGTAGGAATTTAATTCACAATTTGAATACGCGCAACATTAATCTCCTGACAATGCCACAACATAGGACAGCCATTTTTCAACGGTCTTTTACGTATAATGCGGTGAAATTGATCAACTCTTTCGAACAACATTTCATCAGCAACTTTTCTAAAAAAAAATATAAAAACTACTTATTGAGCTCTTAGGTTATTGTCCTCTCTTTGAATCGTACGTATTATGTTTTTTTGTTCTAATCGTACGCATTATGTCATATTAATTCTTCTTTTACTATTATTCTTCTTTTTCCTCTTCTTTATCAGTTTTTTTTTTATTTTATTTTGAAGGTAGTAATAATCATTGACATTTATGGTTAAGTATAAATGGCCATTGGCCAGACTTCGCTATTTGTAAGGATACATAATTATGTATGTATTACAATAAAGTCCATTGAATTGAAATTGAATTGAATTGAATATAACAACCGAAAATCATAATACTTTGTTTTCGAAATTTTTTACGATTACAATACTTTATAATAATCATTAATAGGGAATATGCATGATTTTTTTGTATATTCTATCTTACGTTAATATAATAAACACAAATTTTATCCATGAAAATGTCTTTAAGTGTATTTATTCTTAATTATACATTTGAAACTGCAATGCCAAACGCCACATTTCCGGCGCTCTTGGCAGCATGGCTCCTGATTTGTGATTTGATTGTATTTTTTGTTAGATTACAATAGAGTTTTCGAGTGTTTGTAAGTAATTATTTTATTACTACAAATTATATTGAAAAGATGTGACATCAAACTGACAGGCTGACAATCAATGCCTGTGAGAACAAACGCGTCATTTTAAATCGGGCTGACCAATCAACAAAAGACTGGCTGGTCGTAAGTCGCCAATGGTGACGTCACGCCAATAGCGTTGCGTTTCAACTTTTTAAATTAACCGGATTTACTCCCATTTTTATTAATTGTAATTTTACAGCGCTCAAGTATAAAATGTTGTTATAGGCATCAGGGTGTTCGAAAAATAGTCGGAGATATTTTAGAGGGTGATTTCTTGATTAAAAATATGAAAAACGGTTCCTATAAACATGGGTTCGAAAATACAGAGTTTTCAAGATACAGGGTGATAAGTTTTGGAAAAAATATCGTTTATTATTAATATGGCGATATTATTTGATGTATTAAGAGGCTAATTCAGCCCTAAAAAGGTTAAAATTAGTAGGTCCAGTGGCTTCCCGGAGGCAGCTTAGCGAATATTCTGACAAGAATGTACGGCACTGCCTTTTTTGTAACTGTAATATTTGTTGTTTGATTTAGCATTTAGAAATACAACTTCTTTGCCTCTTGTATTTTTTTCGTATCACACTTCGTTTTCAAGAAAAAAACTTCTTATTGCATGTCACTGGACAAAATTGGTTTATTAATTTTTGCTAAAAAATCACAAGTGTCTTGGAAAACAAAAACTCATTTCTGCATAGAGATTTGCGCATCAGTTCAAACGTGAACAGAATCGAGTAAATATTTTTTAAGATATAATTTTTTTTTTATTTATCACCCTGTATCTTGAAAACTTTGCATTTCCGGACCCATGTTCATAGAAACTTTTTTTCATATTTCAGTCTACTTTTCGAACAACCTGTCTAGCGCAAATATAGATAATTAAGAGATATTTGTATCATATGCATATTCTGTATTGGCGTGAAAGGTAAAATTAGTTTTGTTAAAATTGAATGGTCTATAAAAAATTTACCTGTAGAAGAAATCGGCATAGGTCCACCGACTCGGGAAACCAGCCGCCGATATCCTGATGGTTTCCAATACTCCACACGCTCTAAGTTGCTGTACCACCCTTGTCGGATTGTAATCGAACGCGCTCTTGGAGTCATTTGGCTTGATACAACGCACATAGTGCGGCGTCGTTGAGTTCAAGGTTGCCATAAGCATGTTCAGCGAGTCTCGAAATTGGGACCCCACGGTCTTTTTGTGCGTTTTCTGGGCGGAAGGAGCAGGTTTGGCAGAAGAGATTTTCAATTTTGTACCTAGGAAGAGGGATCTTTTCTAAAACTTCTCAAAAGAGTAGCAGTAATGCTCGCAATGCTGTATTGGGATGTTTAGGTACATTCAATTTCCATAGTCAAAGCAATGTCACCAAGCAAGATTTCAGTAATTCCCTCACACTATTTTCCTATTTTTAATTTAAAAGAGAACTGATTCTTAAATATAACATCAACCTTACAAGGAAAGCTCGACATTCCAAATTTTATTCCTATGCGTTTGAAAAAGAAAATCCCAAAACCTGGGGCAATACGTTAGAGATATGGCATCGCTGGCGGAAGGCAAGCATGTTTATTTACTGGCAGATACAACTTTCAATATTGGATGGGGATGGTGGAATATGCTAATATAGTCGAAATCACGTTTACGTCATCATTTTAGTCTGTAGTAAAGACAAATGACAGCGATTTGTGAATATATTTAATGAAGTTTCTGATATGTTAGACAGAGACAAACAGAATTTTATTGTCTAAACAAACTGTATCGCTAATTTGCATGTCTCCGACAAAGATAGACGATGTTTCCATGTTGCTTGATCGATCATATTTGAAAGATTAATAGTTAGGTTATGTTAAAGCAGGTTAGGTTGTTTTCGAATAATACTTTGGTCTGTCCTGTCTTAAGGTATTCTACTCATAACTGTTTTTTTCAAAACCAAAATTCCCCACTAAAATTATTATTAAGGTTTCAATCAAAACCATGAAATAAAATGAAAATAAAAATAATCAATAAAATAACATAACTTCGCAAAATCTTAATATAAATTTGTTGTCAATATGTTTCTGACTCGTGATTTTATCATCGACGTACGTTCTTTGATTACTTCAGTACAATTTATGGTATGCCGTAATAGTCATCTTTCGTGATTTTGACTATATAACCATTGATTTAAGTATTCTACCTGGAGATTGACAACGAATATTAAATAATTGAACATCGATTTCAAAAATGTTAGTGTCTCATAGATGGCGCTATAGCCAACTATCTCTATATACAGGGTGTTCAGAAAGTTGGACTTCTTTTCAGAGTCAACGAGGTTTGCAATACCAAAGCGAACTTGCGGCAAAATAACACCGAAAACGTAGAAAAGAAATTTAAGAAAATTACTCACTATTCATTCGGTAAGGTTCACCGCCCTATCACATGTTTTGATTGTCAACACTGCTTGAAGTTGTCGTAATTCGATTCAAGAACATGAGTTTGTTTACATCTTCCTAAATTTGCAAATGTGTTCAACCAGAGACACTAACCTTTCCAAAGTAGATTTCTAATCTTTCCCGAGAGGAAAAACGTAGTTATCATAGATGACGCCATGGTATCTCATTTTATTTCGGATAATTTTTGGACGCTGGAATACATTATTAGGTTGGCTGTCTTCAGGTAGAATATGTTATTCAATGATCTGGCTCAATAAGAAATGAGAGTACATTCGAAAGGGTTCCGCCTATGACGAGTAAATAGGTATTTTGCATTCTATCTGGAGGTACTTAATGATTACAATCAGTTTTTATAGATTAAGGAACATTAAATTATTACCTCAAACTTGTTTCCCATAAAATAGAGAAACGTGCAAATTTTGATGAAGTACAGTACCACAAGAAGCGTCATCTTCCTATTTTTATTAAAACTAAACCCGCTATTCGTCATAGTCTGTCAGAGCGGTTCCGTTCACGTTTAGGTACGCTTACCTTTGTGGGGTCTGATTGCTCAGATACCATACAACGTTAGTGAAAAAAGAATGTTAACAAGGACTCGGGAATCTTAATTTGATCTAGCAATTAATTTAAAAGTCTTACCCGGTGGTGCTAATTTCTGAGCATCCGAAGCAAATAAAGTTTTCACCAAATGGTTCCTACTCCTTTTGATCACGCTGATTTGATCGTCCATAACAGTATCTCTATTCTTTTCTAAGAAACCGCTGCTGTTATATTGGACTTTATCTGCAAAGTGGTCTATAACAAAGCACGATGAACCAAAACGTCCTTTTGAAAAGTGGGGGTATTTCGCACATTTAGAGTATAGTTTTTCTGTCCATGTGGCGTCTGTTCCTCTAGGCATCTACGAGTAAAAATAAAATGTTTTTGAACGTTTTATGTAGGGCTCGGCATATATAGGTCTTATTTATTCTTTTTTAAAATAGTGTTCATTGGATGCTCTTCACCGTACGGGAGAACCAATTTCAAACCAGTGCTCCCATTGCTCCTTCTCAATAGGAAAAATAAAATAACTCCCAAGATGGAATCAGTTCGTCTTCGGATCTAGGCACGTAAAAATTTAGCTTTGTTTTTCAAAACGAAAAAAACAAAAAACTTCACATGATGCTAAGTTAGGACTATAAGGTGGATGATCAAACACTTGGATTTCAGTTAATTGATCGCGAGTGCTGCGCCATCGCGTTGTCGATTTATTTATACTACCAACAACTTTTCCATTTACTGGTGGAAGTACAGCAACTTAAACAAAAAAAATAAATAATACACTAACCAAATCACATTTTCATATATCTAGTAATGGAACAAATTAAGGTATCAAATGAAAGTAGTACATTTTAGTGGTTATTTGAAGTACTGTATCTCAATAGAAAATGATCGTATTGAGTCCCATTTTTAAGATTAACATTTCTAGTTCTTAAATATTTTGGTCATAAAAATTTTGAAGCTGCTGATTCCATCCAATCCTAGGACTCGCTAGTATGTTTATTCAGCTTCAATCTGCTTTTATCAAAACCTGGATACGACCATTACTTGCTGAGATATTGAATTTTCAACGCAAAAAGACTGTTTTGGCTTTGGTCATCAATATCTCAAAAAATTCATCCTCCATATATGGACTGGAAATAGTACAAATAAAGGGGTAATGTGTAGTCTCTTTGGAAACCCAAGGGCTAAATTTCAAATATTGACAAATGTGACTCCAGCTCCAGTACACAGGGCTGTCGATAGAGTCAACCAAACAAAACATTCTTACTAAAAATATTTTGAGCTTTTGTATGTATTGTGGTTGTGATCTTGAGATGAATCTGGCAAACAGAAACCATATTGCTAGGTACTGTAGTTCTGTCAAATTGGTATACATGAACTGACGAGATGGAAAGGAGAACAAGCTTGGTACCATGGAGTTTGACGAACAACTTGGCAAAACTTAGAACTGATTCTAATTGCGTGAAGAAATCCACGAAGGAGTTCATAAATTCAGTTGATGTGAAATTCCTGTCTTATACACTTCTAAGGCCATGAGTTCAGTTCATGCAGAAATTCATAGATTTATTGTCAATATAAAGCAAATAATCTACAGGAATTTATGTTGAACCTTCTTAAAGAGTTACATGCCATCACATAGAGGGATCCCATATCTGCACACTCCAATTTAGATAATAGTAAAGAGTTGAAAATCATGCTTATTGCCTCCTTGTTACTAATTTCAAAATGATCTATTTACAGCAGAATATCTATATGAGGATTGAGACTTATAGAAGTGTCACAGATCACACCTAGGACCTTATGTTCATGGGCGATCTGTAAAAGAAGATTATCCAGTTGATAATCGAACTAAATTCTTTACCATCTGAAGATACCACGGAAGCTGCGGCGATCTAGGAGTAAGATTTATTTATAATTCCCAAAAGGTTATACCCAATTACAGGAAATATACCAACAACGAAAATAAATCAATAATTTAACAACAGCGGAACATAAATAAAAGAAAAATACATAAATATACACTGAAAACTAAATACCACTGACGGCGTAATGTGTATGAGAGAGAAGCGTGCAATACGTGTATTAGAAAGAGATAGTACGTCGTTGCCTAGCAACCCGAGTGACGAAGCCATGGACGCCATCGGCGCACACTTTCCAAATTTGAGCCTCAGCGTATACAAGTGTGTCAGTATCAGTGCTACAATTGTCTTTGTAAGAAAATATTATTATGGATTGAATATTCTAAGCATTTTCTAGTTGCAAAGATTGTGTTTTCGTAGCAAATGGCATTGTACCTCACCTTACATTCTTCATCGAGTAAATCCAGAATCCCCAGTTTCGCCTCTATCAAATCAATACATGGTTGATTGTCACAGAAGTCAATCATTTTCCATGCGATGCCCTCTTTTATATACTCCTCCTGTTCTAGTTTGAATACGTGTAAGTTGAACTGTTGCTGTAATTTTTCGTTGGCGTAGTTAATACAGAACTGTTCGAAAGAGTTCGTTTCGAATGTTTCAAAACCTGAAAATAAAAATTAAAAATTAAGTCATAAATCCTGAAAATCCTCAAAATTTTACACAAAAGCATGCTGTGTGCAAATTTTAAGGTCCAGCGAGATTCGTAAGAGGGGCACGGCTCCCTGTGGTCGTTCATGCTCATCAAATAGATGAAAAGTTCATGTAAAGATGGGTCCTAAAATCCGAAATGAAAACTTTGTTCCAACAACCGATCGAACTAGTTCTGAACTTAACAGAACATGCGAAAATCGAAATAACGTTCTATATAGAAAATGGGACTGATTCCTTAACCGGTAGATCTCCATTCTAACAAATTACGAACTGATTTCCAAGCAGTTCTGACCTAGTCCTAACAGTTCAGGTTCGAGACAACTACAAGTTCGAATTTGATAGCGCATACGCGTTCACAGAATAAATAGCGTCGATGAACTGTTCATAGCTGGGAATGGTGGATTTTGTGACTGTCATTTTGTGCCTTTTCTAACTTTTCAATATTCCCATACTTCAAACTTGAATGTTAATCGCTCATTATGTTATTTATTATACATATTCAAAAAAATTAGAAACTTGAATATTTTATCACTTACAGTAGGAAAAAAAACTATTTTCTACATAACTGACACATTCGCTGCATTCTCAGACATGGTGTTTAATTTCGCATAAAATGGATTTAAGTAAGTAAGAAAGGACCTATAAAAGAAATTTGATTCCCTCATACTTTCGAAATAAGCTGGAGTTAATGAAGTTTTGGCATTAAAAATTGTACGGACTTAATGTAACATCTGAAACTTAACCTGTGGATTTCAGGTTCATAACTCCCAGTGCTTGTTTGGCTTAATCAAAACCATGTTTAAAACTCCTCTTTCTTGAAACCTCTCTTTTGACGTCGAAATACCTTTGAAGCATTCACCGAGGAACCCCAGAAACACAATGCATACCGCATTCGCGACTCGATATGACTGTGATATAACATCAATAACTGGTCGCGTGTAAAAACTGTTCTCAGATTTTTAAATAGGTAGGCCTGCGAGGTAAGCTTCGCAGACAGGTAGTCACAACGTCCTTTAAAATTGAAGCACTCATCCAGGTGCAGTCCCAAGAATGTTGTGCTCTCACTGATGAGCAGGACCGAATTATCCAATGTAAGCTGCAGGGGAGGTATTGATGTTTGGTCATTGTGGAGTCTTATTGCTGTTGTTTTTTCACAGTTTAGATGCAGCTGGTTCTCCACGAACCAGCTATTGATGCTGTGTAACAAGCTATTACAGTCGTTAATTAGGATAACGTCATCTTTATGTGATAGAATAATCGATGTGTCGTCCGCGTATAAGGTAAAGTGTGCTCTGGGGAAGGACTGCTCAAGGGTATTTACATATAATTCAAACAGAACAGGCCCCAACACAGGTCCTTGTGGAACGCCAACATCCATATTTATCCCAATAGACTTGACTTGCATTAGTTGTCCTGAGCAGTTATGAGTTATTGTCACATACTGCGATCTGTTTTCTAACAAGGAGTTTACCCAGAGGTAGGCTGGTCTATCGATTCCATAAGTTGCCAGTTTTATTAATAGCAGATCATGGTTGACACAGTCGAATGCCCTGCTTAGATCACAGAAGATACCAACAGGGCACTCTCCTGCCTCAATGTACTGAACTAGCGTATGGAAGAAAGAATGAGGTGCCTACCGTTACGGAAACCATGTTGGTTGGATGTTAGTACCTCATTTTTTTTAAGGAATAGCATTAACCGACTCAAGAAACAGTATTCGAAAATTTTGGAAAACAACAGGGAGGCGTCACCGGTCTGTAGTTTTTTGCGTTTCTCCCTTCTTGTGTATGGGAGTTACTTTTCCCATTTTTAAACTATCCGGAAAAGAGCCAGTACAGAAAGACAGATTGATCAGTAAAACAAATGCCTAACAATATATACCAAAACGTTCTTAACCAGGAAATTAGGAATTTCGTCAGCACCTGAGGAACGCTTGTTTTTTAACCTTTTGTCGATCTGATTAAAGAATTCTTCTTCCGTAAATGGGTATAGATACATGTGTTCCCTAACCGCATTGTTGTAGTTAGGAACTGTGTCAATATTTTTTGATGTTTTCTCTATAATTTCTAGGGTAGCATTTTTAAAGTACTTGTTAAAGTGATCGGCTATTTCCTGAGGAACAGTAATGGTTTGCCCATTTTCGTCCAGTAAAAAGTTTTTTGTTTTATTTTTTCCACTCAGTTCACCTACCACATTGCAGGAAGATTTGACTGTATTATGTGAGTTCAAAATAGTTTTTTGGTAATAGGCCCTTTTTGTTTCTCTAATCAGACTTTGATGCTGTTTTTTGGCCTCCAGATATTTATGCTTAGTTTCGGGAAAAATCGTTGCCAGTACATGCTGTTCCCGCAAATGTGAATAAGATCTTTTAACCCCTTCACTCACCCATACCTTTTTATTGTTTATAATTGCTCGTTTTTTTTGTCTGAAAATGTTTTTAGAAGTGGTAATCGAACACTTGTAAGAAATAATTGAATGAATGCGCTGTGGATATCCGGCAAATTGTACAATATGGACCAGTTTTCATTGCTTAGGACTAGTGCAAAATTTTGTAAAGAGTGGGAGTTAAAAACCTATTTTAGTGTGTATGTCCTATTACTACCTGCCGTATGTTCCATCATTTCCAAGAGTACTGTCCTGTGATAGACAGATATACACAGTTTACACTACAAAGTTCAGACATCTATCACCGAAAATTAGTAAAAACCTGGTCAATCGTTGTGACAGAGTTCTTACCAACTCTAGTAGGCCATCCTACCTCTGGATGCAATCCAAATTCAGATAGGACGTTTATTAAATTGTCACTGTCAGCGTTATGATTCTACAAGTCTACATTGAAATCTCCGCAAAGAACGATATTAATGTTTGGTTTGTAAATAAATCTTAGAACCCTATACAAATTCTTTTGGAATATTTTCATGTCCCCTGAGGGAGACCTGTATCACAAAATAAGGATGCTTTGCATTCCATGATCAGAGTACTGTGCTGCGCAAAACTCGATGTGTTTTTCAATCGAAAATTCAGAAATATCATAAGATTTTGCCATAACATGTTGGTCACAGTATATAGCTACACCACCGCCCTTATACTGTGTTCTGCAGAAAGAACTGACCATGTATCATGGTAGTGTAGTTTTTGCTCTAGAAATGTTGCCATAGTCTTTTGGATCACCCTATATAATCGTAATCTTACCATATATATCCAGAATGCCTATAAACTTATGTTTAGGCAAGTTGGACTCCAGCACCTTGTTTATAACCAACACAATCCAGTTGAACAGCTCTGCGTAGATATGCTTCGCCAGAGCATCCCTGGATATTATGGCTTCTTCTACGGACATCGGTTTTAGGAAAACGTCCCTCATCGAGACCAACTTCCTGGTGCACAGCCACTGTCTCATTTCTTCTTCGTCTATCTGGAGAAGTTCGGCAAACTTCTTCATGTATTTATTTGTCTCCTGAACAAGAAGAAATGAAGATTGTATAGGTACAGTGCAGTGTCACGCAATATGCAGGGAAAAGTATGTTTTAAAAAAAAGTCCGACTGAAGTAACTGAAAAGAACGAATTTTTCATCGTACTATTTAGGACACCTCGAATGTCAAAATCCGTCAAGGTGTTTGGTATGTAGCGCGTGAAATACAAAATGCTGTAGAAAACAGAAAATAAGATATGGTGTTTTTGTATGTTATATGCCATGTACATCACTCATTTCTGTCGGTTTGTCTGCCCGCTAATCCTTAACTCGTTTAATTACTTGAGAACTACCGCTCGGATTTTAATGAAACTTCCACATACACGGTTACTACTATGCCAAGGACTAAAAAACTTTGTAGTTTTTGAAAATTAGTCGATTGGTGGAGGAGAAAAATGCCAAAAACATTTATGAACAAAATTTAAGGGGTAAAACATTGGGGTGTGGGGGCTGTAGGACGGTGGGGGGGTGTATCGCAATTTTTTGTTGATAGTATACTAATATACTTCGAATCCCAGTAATTCTACGCTCCCATTAGACATATTATTTCGCACATCATAGATTTCCCCGTACATTTTTCCTTAAAACAGAAAAATATGTTCTCCTCTTAAAACGGGACACACTGAACATTCTTACGACACAAGTATATTTCTGGGTTGTTCTTTACGACAAATTGCTATCGCGCAGCTATCCAGTATACGAGGGGGCATGTATTTGAACATATTACACTGGTGAACAAAATTAAAATAATTTTTTGTGACATGGACAGAACAAAGTGGTTATTATGTAAATCGTACCCAAAAAGCCGGAAATAGCATTCGATTTTTTTCTATCACCCACGGTTTTCTTGCAATAAGGCATTTTATTTGCTGTTTATACTCGTAAAACATAAGGATATGTGTGTAAGAGTACTAATAAACACTCGAATAAACATTAATCTCAGATGTTGTTGTCGATTACGGCGATATGTTGCTCCTGAAGTATCTCTTAACAATGTCCAGCAATAATAAGCAAGCAAATTGACACTCCATTTGCCTTGATACCGTTTTTCCATAGCAGAAATGTCTTGGTGGAACCGTTCACCATGTTCATCTCTTACTGTACCTAAATTTTCCGGAAAAAAAATCGAGATGAGAATCCAAAAAGTGAATTTTTAGAGACATGTTACATCCCATTCCTTTATAAGCATTAATTAGTTCACTCACAATATCTTTATAACTGTTCGCCTTCCCATTGTCCATAAAGCTAGTCTCGATACACTATAGAAACTAATAAACTAAAAACAACACACCGTTTTAACAAAAATTAACAGTACTTAGAACATCTCAGTACTCTTCAACACAGACAACGTAACTGACTCGGCTGCTATTAGTCGACTAATAAACGCAATATGCTCTCTAAGCATAGAGCTCGCATATAATAAACAGGAATAGACAGGTCCTAACATTATATGTGTGTGTCATCGCATAAACGCCGAGAAATGCAGCAATATGAGAAGTTACGTGTTGTAATTCATAAAAGTAGATGTTACCGTATATATGTGAATGATAGAAAAATTCTGTTTTTAGATTTGATTGAAGGGTCCCAAAATACATGAGATACACCCAAAAATTGTCATGTCACAAATAATGTGTTTATCAGTGTTACCGGAGGTAATCTGGCAGCAGTTGCTTCTAGTGCATGGTACAGATTTGATTTTTTTTTCGTACTACTGGGTGAGTACTGAAGTCTTGTTATTGGTATGCTTCCAACTTCCAAATTTCTCCTCCAACCCCCACAAGTCATTTATTCAAGTCCTGGAACTTCCGTATTTCTCTGGCACAAAAAAACACATAGAACTTTAAAAATAACTTCATAACTCCCTCTGCAGTCTTTCCGAAATCGGAATTCCCCCCAACTCCCCATGTTACACTGTCTGCCTATATACGAACTTCCGATATATGTTTTTTCGAGGTGATCTCGCACATTCGTAAAGGGTGATGATCCTTGGGTCATTCTCTCCACATTAAGATAGGAATGACGGTAAATTGCTCCCTGATGGCCCCCAAGACTCATTCTGGGGATTCGTCATCATTAACCGCATCACCACCGAAAAGACCAGGCCGGCCGAATAAAAAATGTGGCCGGTATTTCAGCACCATCACCATCAAGGCCAACGAAAGCATCACAGAAGGTACGAGATAACCCATGCTATTTGAGTACAACAGGAAGTTGACAAAAAGTGCGCCGCAATCGAAAGCAGAAGTTGTCATCAGACTTGCCAACATCGAAGCCAAACTGCTTTCGGGATCAGGAGTACTTCTTGCAAGATAGGGTGACTGCAAAAGGGCTGACCAGACATCAAGTCAGTCACAGTCGGGACAAGTCCATCTTCACAGAGTACCTCATACTAGGCAAAGAAAGGGCTTGCAGGCAGCAAGGAGCTAGACTCGCTGCCACAGTGGACGATAGCAGACTTCAACAAGCAGTCCTCCAGTCAACAATTGGGAGCCGGCACCAAAAGGTCAGCACAAGAACCCACCCAGCACAAGCAAGTGAAAATGACGTTATAAACTGGTCATGAAATGAAGAGAAATCAGGAGTTGATTGACGTAAAAGTAACGTGAAAATAACCTCCCAATGTCACATACCGATGACGTCATATGACGGACGCAAATAATACGTTACTTGCTGGACGTGAAGATGACGCCTGGTATTTATAATGCATAAACTGTTTTAGTAGTAGTATTACACAGATGGAGCACAACACGAGCTGGATGCTGCTCGCTTAGCGACGAAAGACGTCCTAGTGTACTTACTGGGCCCTACATCACTTTACCACTTTACATGAGACAAATGGCGGGAGCACGAAAAAATCGTGATTTCAATGATCTTAAATTGTCGTTCACTGTCAATTGTCACTCGATACAGCGTTGCTAGACTAAACGTAAACTCATTCTTTGGAATACATAACACATTGAATATATAAAATGTTATATGTATTTTTTTGTATGATCTATCCAAATGATGTATTCAATGAGGTCGTTTTTTAATTATTTTGCACTCACACTTATTCTTAAGAATCATTAAATATTATACAGAGTGTCCACAAAGTTGGGGTTTTCCTTTACACGACGTGTAGATATTGGAGAAAATAAGCAGACTTTCTTAGTAGCATATGCACCAATGTCTTAAGAGAACCAAGATATTGGGCTCCGCGAACTCAATCAAACCTGAACCAAACCGAAGCCGGTCCTGTCCTACCCTCGATCACGTCCACAGCGCCAGCGTTCAGTTATACGACGTATGACTACGACGTAAATACGGATTTTGCGACTTGGAATTTCAATAAGCAGTAGTAGACTCTTCGGTCTTCTGAACAGTCGCCGTGCGCTGTGCGGATTCGAATCCCGTTATAAGAGACATTTTTATCTTGGCTATGGATGTTGTGATTGTCCGTAGGTGGTAGACGGTCTCTCACTGTCGGACGCAGAGTTACCACCCGGCGGATCTCGTAGGCGGGGCCAGAATGTGTGCATGTTGCATGCACACGTGTTCCCTTGCCAGAGTCCGTGTGGCATTCCCCCCTTTCCCCTGTATCCCCCTCTAGCCCCACGGTACCCCATGGGTGTTTAGGCCTAAGGCCTTCGTGGTAGTTGGAATACAGAAAAAAAAATAACGGAAAGCTAGAACTGTAACAGAGAAATGGAGCATTGTATGGTAAAGTTTGCCGACACCTTAATGACTTGTTAGTCCAGATAACTTTGAGTTGCGTTGAGTAAACGTTGACCAGGGAAGAAATGAGAATTATTTCTCAGGAGACGACTTGGTCTGTTTTGGATCAGAAAGTTTGGGTCTAAATTGATAAAAACACAGTACATATAAAAATATATGTAATTAAAAAACACGTCATATCAACGTCCTGCACTACACGTATATAATTGGAGATTTAGTAAACGTCATTACGATGTTGATATTTGGAACAATCACGTGAGTTGACAAGTTGAAACCAAATTTCCCCAAGCTATGGGCTAAGCAAGATTCGTGCCATTCTCGACAATATGGAGATCAAAGCCCCACATTTTGCGTTGGCGAAAGATATTGCACAATTATGGCAACGCTTGTGGTGGGTTTCTGCGCAACGTCACCGCTCCCCCCACCGAGTAACTCCAGGAAACTTCCCCAAGGCGGCACATCACTACCGATGAAATAGAGCCGCCTACACACTCAACTAAATCGCAGTTGTATACACGTCTCAATAGGCTGGACCATCGGGATGGACTCCACGGGGACTATTATAAGATGCCAATAACGAGAGAAGTTCATTTACTTTTACCATTATGCAGTGTATGTAATACGTTATCATAATTACCTATTGTAAATAGAATAACTCAATCGCCATCTCAAAGACCATCATCATTAGGACAGTCTCATACTCAAGACCCCTTGGGGAGCTTACTTCAAGAGAGACTGGAGGAATTCTATCATCTATTAGCCATATTTCATAAATCATAGGTTTTCCACACATTTGTGTTTATAACTTAGAATGATAAATGTTTTCGATACGCGTCTCATTCTGCTATCTGGGTTCAGCGTCCGGCGTAACGATCTGCTTGATTACTCTGCTACTACTGCTCGTACATGGCGCTGCTTCGGTGGAAGATGCCGCGTCTGACGATATGGGAAGGGGCAACATTGCCAGATGGACGGTAACTACCGGTAGGGCAGGAAGGAATGTCCATGGACTAATTGTGTGCAACTGTTTGACTGACTGAGTCGTAATAATTCTCTATTGTACATGCTCGTAACTAACTTTTTTCTCACAAGGTGTTACTTTTACTGAACTTAATTCTTTATGCACTGATAACGGCGTTGAGTAGGAAGTGCAGGGTTAACCTACTTGACACCATTTTTTAGAGTTGGAAGAATTCATCATGTTGTCTTTATAAAATGCATGGTCTGCTACAGTATCAGAAAGAAAATTAAGTGGCATGTTCACAACACTGAGCTATTTTTTAACTTGAAATGGAACGAAAATATGAGATTGATAGTACTAAAAACATGATTGAAACAAATTCATTAAAAATATCCACACTCACAATCTGTTCCAAAGTAATATTCACCGTCATTCTTTTATGAATATGTGTAATAAACGGCACAATAAGCGGTTAAGATCTGGCTTTGATATATGAGAAGAGTTTGAGAAGTCAGAAAAGAAAAAAATGGCAGCCACAAAACGTAGCTTCTCTCATTTCAACGACGCCATTTATTCTTTTAGCGCGCATGTGTTCTCTGTCAAAACCAGGAATGTAAGAACCAGCTCAGAATCGGTTCGGAATCAGTTCGGAATTTATTGGAACAGAAAACTACCAGTTATGGAATCAGTTTCATTTTCTGTTTGAACGGTAATTTCGATCTGCGCATGCTCTGTTCAGTTCACTACTGGTTGGATGGTTTTTTATTACACCAAAGCAGCAGCGCAGACAGAAACATAAATGCCAGGACACCGCAGCTGGTATGAACAGCAAAGGAGTGGCCGTATCGGCCAGTTCTGGATGTACGAAGTTCGATACGGTTAGGATGGGAAGCTGAACTCAGGAGGGTATGTCTGGCAGGCACATCGCGCGGCGGCATCATGTAGGAAAACACTGAGGAGCAAAGCCTGTTAGTGTAGCGCTAGAAGGAAGGGAGGTCGCCGACGGACCACCGATTCGAAAGGACTCCTCTGAACGGCATCGAGCATGGATAATGTAGTCGAGGCTGCAGCATCCCAATTATAAGAGCAGTACTCTTATCTGTACCTTGTTGAAACAAAGCTATAGATACATAAACACCGATGCGCAAAAAACATTACCCTTTTTCTGAGAAGAAGATTAGAATATCCTCGTACGTACCTCCATTTTACAACCTTCTTGACCTTGTTCATTATCCATTTTGACTAGACACTTCTTAAAGCTAATGTTTCCTAAATGTAGTATGGCCGCTAATATCTTGAACATATCATCTTGCTCTGTTTCGGTAAAACACAACATGTTGAGAGCGTTGACAGTTTCCTCGAACGCTTCAAGGTCGTTTACTCCTGTCACATCTGGACTCTCTCCTTGGTTCAGGTAGGAAAAATTGTTTTGGTGTTCTGCAAAAAGATAAGTATCAGAGCCAACTTGCTGAAATTACACGGATCGATGTTTATTTCCGCTCTGGGCCTCCTTAGACGTATTTTGAGTTTATTATCCTGTATATTTTTCAGATAATTGTATTCTATTATGTGCGACCACATCCTATGTACTCTTATATAAGTCTAAGTCGATTATGACTTTACATCCTATTTAATATCTTAGAGCATGAATATGCGCCAGAATTTCCCAGGATACAATGTATGATTATAATTCAGAAGCGAAAAAAAACCTGGCACTTTTATATTCCCAGACAATTCTACTTTGATTGCTATTGTTGTTAGATAATATTCGCTCACAACCGTAGCTTACTATTCAATATTATTTTTTAATAACAGGAAAGTGAGTCATCGTTTCACATCTTTTACATCACTATTATCTCGGCATTATAACTGAAAATGTAGAAGTAAAAGTAAACTTCTGAATCTGACATAAAGGGTGTCCCAATGGTTGTTTATAGTATCATAATACGACAAAGAATCCAGTTACTTTTTGACATTAAATTGAGACACCCTTCATTAATAACATACTGTAATGGGTGTTCCAAATTTGACTCTTACCATTGGGATCCAATAAACGGTACGAGATATGAAGAGGTTTGAATACTCAAGTTGCGTATTTAGTCAACTAAGAAAATGACACTTCAAAAGTTTATCAATTTCGACTATTTCCCGAGATAGACGAAACAAACTGAATTTTCTCAAAATTGTTTATATTTTTTCCTGAATTTATTTGAGATGTGATTCCATCAAATACATTAACATTGTCACTTTTTTCCTCTATAAGACGGTAATTAGAATTTCAATAAGACCTTTCGTCTCTTGTTCTCAACTTAATTTTTTAGACGTCATATTGGATTTTCACATACGTGAATAGAGTTTTTAATTCTGATTTCAAAAATGTCATACAATGACATTGAAAAACCTCAGATATTTGAAAATAGAAATAGAATTTCTTAAGTAGATCTTGAAATTAGCAGATAGCCATTTGTGTCATAAATCATCAGCTAAGCATTCCTTCAGATTTCATGAACTAGGCATATTTGAACGGGCTCTACTTTATTAACTGATATTTTTGAAAACAGAGCCAAAAACTATCCAACTGTACAAAAATCCAATATGACATCCATAATAAAAAATAATAAATAAGGTTGATTAATGAGAACAAGAGACGAAACGCCAAATAGAAATTATAATTTATGCCATCTTGTAGAGGAGAAACTGTGGCATGCTAATGTACTCTTCAGTTTGAAATCCCACTTCAAATGGACAGCAAAAAATAAAAACGAGTTTGAGAAAAACAACTTATACCCCTATATCTTGTACCGGCCCCTAGATCCCAATGGTGGGAGTCGACTTTGACGCAACAGCTTTTAGAGTATTCTGCATCATAAAAGAGATTCTCATTATAGATAGACTCACCTAAGCTCAGATGCTTCAACCTATCTCTTGCAGCACACAACTGATAAAAAATATGGTAGTTCCTTTCATCCGGAGCTTGGAAGACAACTCTTGATTTTTCCAGCAGGTACGTTCTCATGGAAGCCCCGTTTATGTGGAATTGATTATTGAACCGAAGTTCGATAAATTTTCCAAATCTTGAACTATTGTCGTTTCTTGTTGTCTTCGCGTTTCCGATTGCCTGAAAATAGGTTCATTTAAACCACCTACTGTCATTAACATTAATGAAATTAGGATCTGAAAAGGGGTCAGAAGCGATGCACAAAGTGATCATCCCTCGTATATACTGTGACCTCGCCTCTATAATAGTCTGAGACTCTATCCCTCCCGTTGCAAGTGACGACATACCCCCTCCGTGATCCTGCTCTTCGCCGTTCTCCCCAGTGACTTCAAATACACCCTTTATCCCTGCATATTCAACTAACCTCCATAATAGGATTGCCAGCCAACACCTTCCTCTCAATCTGAGTCTGCTCCCTCCCACTACAGGTGACGTCATCTTCCCTCTCCCTCAATGATCTCAAATGCCCCCACTCTTTCAAATTGAAGTTGCCTCCATAATAGCACTGCTTGAGCAATGTCTTCCTCTCGGTTTGAGCGTCATCCCCTCCGACTGCAAGTGACATCATCCCCCTCAGCCATCGTCATACTGCTTTTTCTTTTCTCCTGAATGACCTCAAATACACAACAACCTCTACAAATTCGAGTTACTTCCATAATAGGACTAGCCAACACCTTCCCCTCGATCTGTGTCTTATCCCCTCCTATTGCGACATTATCCCCCACTCTGTCATCGTCATATTGCTATTTCTCTTCCGACCTCAAATAGACCCTCTCATCAGTGCAAATTCAACTTACCTCCATAATAGGGCTGCTAGCTAACACCTTCGTCTCGATCTGAGTCTCCTCCCCTCCAACTGCAAGAGACGGCATCCCCCCTCCATCGTCGTTATACTGTCCCTCCCCTCCAATAGCCGCGAAGTACCTCATGGCGTACTTTGCAGACACTGTCTTTCCTGCCCCACTCTCCCCTGAAACGATGATACTTTGGTCCCTTCTAGCCCTTTCCAACTCTGCGTAGGCCTCCTCGGCTACTGCGAAGATGTGGGGGTCCAGCTCACCCTTGGAATGGCAGCGGTAGCTTGAAATTGTATCTGGCCCTGGAATGAAACAGGTGCTATGATTGAAGTCACACATATTTTTTTTACTTCTCACGCCTACTGGCGAGGAAGTATTGTAATCGCAAAAAATTTCGAAATTTATATATTATGTTTTTTGGATGTTATATTTCCGTCGGTCTCTCTGTAGGCCAGTAATCATTGGCCGATCTAAAACTTGGAAAGATTTGGATGACATTTTTATACAAGGTCACTACTATGCCAAGGACGAAACAGCTTTGTTGTTTTTGAAAATCGATCCAGTAGCGGGAGAGAAATAGGCCAAAACGAAAAGAATAAAAATCCCGTTGTCGTTTCATATGATCCTGATAATTTTTGCAAAAATTTTTGAAAAGGTAAAAAATTAGAGGTTAGGGGTTGTAGGGCTATTTTTTGATGTAGGTTTTCACTTATCACAGATTTACCCTAAATACTTCGAAATATCTCCAACGATACGTGCGATGTGTCCGGCTGATGGTTGTATGCTGTAAAAGTACATATCGGTATCCACCGGGATGACCATCGTAGCAACGATCATGTGCGCGAGCAGGAATTACTCTCAGGGGAAGAAGGAAAGTCATTTAATTTTTTGTTAAACATGTTAGTAGATAACTTTTTTCTCGGAAGAGCTAACTATTGCTGAACATAATCTTTCCGAACTGATGACAGCGTTGCATGGGAAGTACATAGTCAACTTACTCGACGCCATTTTTTTTTCAATAGCCTGTTTGAGGAAATAATCTTGATAGGTACTTTCCCTCTGATTGTTCCATGATGTTCGTAGAAACGATAGAACAACAATACTATATTTTTCCTTAAAAAAGGAAATTAATTTGACCAGCTCTGAAATTATGTGAGAGTATTCCATATTTATAGTAGACTAGCTTTTCGCCCCGCGGTTTTACCCACGGAACATATAGATGGCGTCACTTATAAAGTAACCAAATTTCCCAAGCATGCAAGTTGCCTTTCAACGTACTAAAGATTCAAAACGATCGGAAATTTATAGCATTACTCAAAGACAATGTTTTATATTAGTAAAAAAATCAAGCTAGAGCAAAATAAAACGTCTCGCTTGACGGTTACGGGTTGAGTGGTGCTATGGCATTCCGCGCTGTTGCCGGCTTGATGATGACGGTGGAGATTTTGGTACTTACCGCGACACTTAAATATTGTAAAATGTCGTTGTAAAATCGATTATGAGTTCGCGGACAAAAAAAGATGAACGGTACAAGTTTGATGTTTTGTTGTTAGAACCAGCAACATGTAGTCTTAACGCAGTACAATCCCATGAGCTGTCGGAAACACGCAAAAAAATGACAGACCGTAGTTATACCCAATTGAAAACTTGTGTTGGAAGGAAAAAAAATGAATGTCACTGCCGTTGTATGAGAAAAATATGAATGTCCACTGATCGTCACCGAAACTAGTAGCTACTACAATAATTTACCATACATCAATCGGCGACGAAAGAAATAAACGTGAAGAAATCATTTTTAAGTAGTTACCATTGATTTTGTTTTGTTTGTTCTATATTCTTTTGCATGCCGTTTTTTTCTTACTTACTTAGAAATATCTATATTTGAGCTGTTGAGAGGTTCTGGGCCCTGTGTAATAAATTTCCTGTTAAGGTTGTTCTCATATTAGAGCAGATCGTAAAGCCTAAGATAGGCATTTTGCTGGTTGATCAACCTTTAGATTTTACAGGGTGTCGCACATGACGAATGGTTCATTTCTAACCTCAATATCACAAAAAATGTTGAGTTCAGGCATGGACGCTAAAAAAATGTTTAAAATCAGAAGAAGAATCAAAATATAAAAATAAAAAGGATTTTCCATGTTTGGTCTGCTTTTGCTTTTGGGATACCCTGTATATTAAAAACAATTATTTGTAATTTTAACTTTTTTCAATTGCTTATAATAAGGTATCTGCGGTATTCCGTTAGATATTTGACCCACCCTGTATAACGAGTCTAGGAGTCTTCAAACTTTTAAATTCACTTTTCTCGGAACTCCTTGTTACATTCATCTTTTTTTCCCTGTATCCTTCATGGATTAGATGCAAAAATCCAATAAATGCGATCAATTTGGAATTCAAGTCATTTTCAGAGCTGAAAACCCCGCTAATAGAAATTGGTCCTTCCATATGTTATACGTTTGGCGATTATTTTATACAGTGCTTTTAAGAAAGATGACCTTTACTTATTTTTTTCACGGGTCAAGATAGGAAGGTGAAATGCGGGATGGTGAAACTGACGAATGAATACTATATGGTAAGAGTAACAGTTGAAAATGCCAATATAGCTGCTGCGCACCATCTTGTAACATTTTGTAAATGAATTGGAATTGTTAATACCTCCTTATGAGTGTTTTATAACCCAAGAAAAGTCACTATCTTCCAAAATGGAGGACAGGTAGGTTGTCAAAATGTCACAGTAGACTACGAGTCATTTCGTTTGACAGATTTTGACAATCGTTCTTAATGGAATGTTACATATCTTATTACATATTCGGAGTCACGCTTCAAAAAAGAAGATTAATATAGCGTTTTGATGATTTATTGTCGAGTTATAATCGACTCAATGCACGTAATCTCTCAAGCTTGACAACCTGACAGATTTCTATGTTAAAACATTGTAATTTCTAGGGTCATAAAGTACTCACAAGGAACTTTAAAATGTAGTATCACACGGCTGCTCATTCCGTTTGAAAAAATATTACAAACTGGAGCCCAATGCCATCTTGAAATTTTCAACTGCCAACATAGTATCCATGCAACAATTGGATTAGCCCCAATCTCAACTTTTTATCTTGCAAATGCTAAAGGTCTTGGAGGAAAAGAAAACTGATGCTGCCAACCGTCACCCCGCCCCCTCCCCCCACTGCACTTTTCAAATGAATGCCGACATCCACCGCTTTTAGATGCATTCATTCGCTTTTCAACCTACTTTTCAACTTTCGCTAAGCATTTCATTTTCCTTGTCACACCCCCTCAAAACCAAAATTTCTCTTATAATTTGGTACAGGTCACGCGCTGGCTTAATCCGACACTCGTTTTTCGTCTAACTTTTGGGGTATTCTTACCATAAATAGGGAGCTCATCATAGGGGTTGATGGCAACTAACACGATCCCACAGTATGTATACACTCCCCTTTGCTGGCAAAACCTAACTTGGAGGTTATGAAGGACTGCAGGCTCATGGAGGTAGGACAGTGTCGTGAGGTCATTTTCTCCTACGAGGTAGGCGGGGTTCCTTAGTGGAGGAAGATCTGATTCTTGTTTTACAGGGAGTCTCTTCTGTTGGCCGGATTCTGATAGAACGAGCAGTCCATCTTTGCTGGTGGAGGGGGAATAGTCCTCTAGAAGCTCGACGCCTTCCCATACTAATTCTGGATGAGGAATCCATACTTTGGCTCCCTGTAAAGAAAATATTTGTATAGTATTTTCAGGAGCGTGTCTGCATTTTCGGCGTAGGGGTCGCAGATGTATCAAACTTTGGAGCACTATTTGTACAGATCCCCCTACTTTGCGCACTACATACTGAGTTTTTCTATAGACCCCATATTCGCCTATTTGCTTTCCGTTGTCTCAAATACTGGAACTATGCACTAAACCGTGCTGATGAAGCAACGTCGTACACGGTAAATGAAGTATTTAATAAAAACTACGTACGTTACAGATATGTCCTACGGGAACCTTTCTCTTGCAATCATAAAGCGAGCAATGTCATTACCTATGGTGTACATACGTTAAATATGTCTACATACTTTACGTAACCGTATACTCTATTCCATGGGCGGAGAGCAGTATAATCGTAGTATCTATATGATTGCTCTATTTTACTTCTCCCTGCACTTCGCGAGGAATTATTGCAATCGCAAAAATTTCGAAATTGAAATACATTGCTTCTTGTTATATGTTACGACATATTTATGTAAACCGCGAATAGCCCTATTCAATGGACCCTTGGTTCCTCGATATTTTGAAAAATACTGCTTGACATTTTTAAGGTTATACCAACGAGTAAAAATGTATCAAGTGAAGACAGTTAGGCAACACGAATAAATTGGAGTTAGTAAGAGATGCATCCCAGAGAAAGGCGTCCACAAGACAGCTGCTGGCGTCTAGTTTAAACACGTGCTGTTCTTATTTGGTCCGAGACAGTTGAAGCATTTTTTGTACAAATTTACTTTTGTTTGGACATTTATTCATAGTGGGGATATTTATCATCCGTTTGCAGGCTACGAAATATATTTTTCATTCAATAAAGTTATAAATCGCAATTTTCGCGAAAGAAGTTATTCCCAAAACGGGAACGTCACCTTGAAATTCAAAGGTGTTCTAACCTCAAATTGATTATTTGACTAATTATCGGTTTATTTGACATGGCTGCCAGTTATCTAGACAACCTGGCTTTAAGACGATATGTTTACTTATTTCGCATGACTTTTTCACGTGACTTTAAAACCCGTGGACGTAACTGAAGTCCATTCAGCTCAATATAAATAATATAAATCTAACGATCTTATGGCAGTTTCACAACACCGCGTCGATAAATGTAAAGTCATATCTATGAGCGAATCATCAAAGCTCAATGCTCATAGACCGTTTTATTTGTAAGCCAGTAACAGTCCAAGAGCCAAACGCTTTAGTTACATCGCGTACTGATATATATATATTAAAAATTAATCAAATCTCAGGCATTTTGATGACAAACAGCAATTTGGACAAGCTGATCGTTTAGCATCAAAATGATGTAACACAAATTTTGCGATCGGCAGAAGAAACTCAAGGTCAAAGGCATCCGACCGGCGGATAATAAATTCCACGAAGTGTCTTGTCTTGATGAAATTACTCATTAGTACTGATATAAGCAATACCCGCAAACACCCCAACTACACTCAAAAATGTATGCAATTTATACAATACGTATACAATGCAAACAACAGGTATACAGTAGTATATATAATGTATAGAAAACATAAGTTCCAGGGAGTTTCTTGTCTTGATATAACTACTGTTTGGTGATTCCATGTCAAGCGCCAACATGCTTGTGCGTTTTGAAAACTGGTCCAGATGCGGTGCAGTTATGGGCAAACGGAAAATTATCCTAATTTCGTTTTTCGAGGTTTTTGAGTTTCTGATGACTTTATAGGGAAAGTCATAGAATTTTTTGGAGAGGCATGAATCCTCAAAAAATTATAATCTTAATTTTATGACGTTATCAAGTTTCTCTTCAGTTTAGAGCGTTTAAGAGATCAAACTTTTTGAAATCCGGTAGTTTTTATATTTGACTTATCACCACTAACGAATTTTTATGTGCCTACCTCAACTACACTGCATCTTATTTTCAGTACATTGAGGCACCCTCAGTAAGTAATAGATTTATAAAATAGTTCGTCTATATTAAAGTGAATGAGGCCACAACCCGGCTTTAATCCTCGGAAAGTAGAATAGGAATGGGGTCAAAAATAAATTCAGATAATATTCAAACACCTATATTAAGTGACAGTTATAAGTACGGCAAACTATCAGTCATTGATGAATAAGAAGAAAAACCGGTTATAGCATTTCCTGTAATAAAATGTCATTAAGTTATTATTTTGTTCGCAAAACTTTCTATGATTATATCAATTAAATTCGCGGCTCATTAGAAATTAGACATATCACTAGCACTGCAAATGCGCATATTTATCATACGCATATTACTTTAGTTGGCTTATCTTTTTTGCATAGATAAATTGTAGTCAACAAAGGTCAGTGAACTATCAGCTATAATAGGCTGTTCCTTTTATCTGGATGCATTTTACTGTCCGCGCCACTAGGCAAGGAAGTATTGTAATCGCGAAGAATTTCGGAAACGAGATGTTGTTCGGATGTTATGTGACATAGACATCACAGAAAACCATGTCACCCATCTGACTGCCTGTCCGCTATTCCTTGGCCCAGGTATAACTTGAAACGTACCAGTCGGATTTTGATGAAATTGTCACACAAGGTTACAACTAAAAGGGGGCTAAAAAGCTTGTAGAGTTTTAAAATCGATTCAGTGGCGGCGGAGCTAGGGGTAAAAAATTAAACAAATAAAAATCACTGAAACTTGGGTCCTGATCATTTTCAGTAAAACATTGTAGGTTTCGAAAATTGACAGTTGGGGTTGTAGATGGTAGGGGATTGTAAATGTTGCAACTTTGGTATCAGTGAAAGCCGCAGTATTATCTATATGTTAGACACAATATCACACATATTTCGCATAGTACTTACATTCGTGACTCCAGCATCACCACCTATAGTCTGGTATCGAAAAGGACTGCGTGCCTTCAAAGGGGTGCAGTGAGGTGGCTTTAGTATCCCTATAGCTTATCCAGGAACATGCGATATCCATTACCTGCGTAGGGTCCGCCGAAGGTGTACGACAGTTGTCCAGTTATTATGTACCATGCATTGTCAGAGCCGATTTCAAAAAAAATAAATTAACAATTCAATTATATTTATTCTATAACAGAACGTACAAGGTATTATAGAGTGCAAGTCAGTCTTATGCTGATGATATTTAAGTTTTCTATAGTTTCTCTCCGAACAGCTACCACATTGCTAACAACGTTAATGTAGATTTATAGGTACATAAACCACAAAGCACAATTTACGACTTAACGCATCTAAATCGGCAGCTTTACTTTTATGCTCCAAGAAGCGTGGTTTCCTCAAATCAGTATTGAACATCCTCGTATCTATCAATAATACCTTACTTATATTTTCCCATTAAGCGAAGAATAAGACTTCTATATGCAAATAAAGCTATACTGAATAGAATAATAAAGAAAATTTGATATTGAGTAAAATAGCTTACTGCAACATTGTTTATTACCCCTGTCTAAACGAAATAACAAAGTACCTTTTACCTTAGGCAAACGCTTGTTTATAGGAACCTCATTCACAATTTGAATACCCGCAGCAACCATCTCCTCAAGTACCACAAAACAGGAAAGTCATATTTCAACCCTCTTTCAAGTACAATATGGTAAAATTGATTGATTCATTTAATCAAACCTTTATCAGCAACTTTTCCAAAAAAAACGTATAAGGTCTGTTTATTAAATTCTCATATGTTTTTTTATTTTTTCTTCTCCTCTCTTCAGTTTAACTTATATATATATACATATATATACTCATCTTATGTCTCTTTCTGATGCGTATGATTGGTACAAAGGCCGACTAGGCGATTGGATTACATTTTTTCTATTACTGATTATTTTCCTTTAGGCTAAGTTTTCGCCATTCCTAACTGTAGTAGTGTACATTTTTTGAAATGAATTGAATTGAGTTTCACAGCCGTCGAATAATAAATACCAAAGTGTGCAAACGTTGACGTACTACTACATAAATGTTGCATATGTGTCCAGATTGGCAAGGTAGGTACAAAGTCAATCTACTTGACGATATTTTTGAATCAATGCAAAATCTAAATCAAGTCATGCTGTCGCTTCGTCACATCAATTTATTTAATCTCGCTATTTTCATGTTATTAGCTCCTTTTTGTATGGAATTAGGCAAGTAAGTTTTACTTAGCTTAACATATTTTCGTATAGTATCCACATACGTGATTATTTAAAAACGCTTTAATAATTTGGATGATCACAGTCCTATCATTTTAATGTTTGGAGTGAAAACTCCATATTAACTGCTTTGTCGAAATTTACAGTTAAGTGATTTCCATAATAGCAGTAATAGAATTGCTTAAAACACTAATATACATTTACTATTAACTCATATTAGTAATGGCACTGCAGTCGGCTCATTTTCTACTCCAACAGCTTAAGAATTTGTCCTAGTGATATTTAACGTCTCGTCACCTGGGTATACAGGGTGACTTTGAAGTTGAGTCATTAATTTTCAGATAATGATTGTAGAAGGAAGATAAACCAAAATATGTGTGTAAAAATAAAAAAAAATTAAAAAAAATTTTACCTTGTTTTATAAAGTATCCTCCCGACAAGTATTTCAGTGCGAACCTGTATTTGATCGTGAGGTCTTGGAGCACCGGCATGCCGTCCATATGTGAGGTCTTAAGTCAAATGATTCACGAACCCGTTGTACTACATTAACAAAGGCACGAGGGGTTGGTTGCACTCGATTGGGAAACCGATCCGCATAAACATGTGCCATTTTTTATTTCGTTTGAGCCACGCAACAGACACCACTATCCACTACCGACTGACACTGACTGTATAAAACTGAATGAAATAATTGTAAAAACATCGTTCCAAATTCTTTCGCTTTTTTGTTTCCGATGCGATGAACCGATAAGGCGAATTATATCCGTTGTCGCCAAACACGAGCACATAATATTATTATTGAGACAGGGCGGTACTCAAACTTCCAAAGGGCTATAACTTTGTTACTTTAATTTTACCAGA